AGGGGTAAGTAAATCTTAGATCTGTTTATATGATCTAAGAAGTAAATAATACACATAACCTGCATACGTTATAATTGAAGATAATTTAGCTTACCTGCTTACCTATTGTAAGTAGGTGTAGTAGGTATATATTACTGCCATCTTATCAAGATTAATTTTTTTGTTATCTACATTTCAAGTAAATGACTTTGAATTCCTCAAGGAATTCCTAGACTAGAATATGCCAAAGGCGATAGAAAGAAACTATTTCGGTAAGTACTGTAACAGTTAATTAGAAATAGATAATGAAATCTACTTACAGACCAATATTGACCTACGGTAGAGAGAGAGTTTGGTGCTGAAGGAATCACAAAAAACCAGACTACAAGCTACAGAAATGAAGTAGGTACTTGCGAAGGGAAAGGGGAGTTGGTGGAATTACTAGTAAGAAGATAAAAAAAGAAGTGGATGCTCTGATAGAGGCCTTTGGTAGGCAAAAATTAAAATGCTTATTTGGACGAATGGAAAACAGTCGGCTTACGAAACACATATGTAACACCGGAATTCAAATTAGGAAGAAAAGGGGAAGCATAAAGACAACATGGGATATGTACTTATAAGTAGCAAGAATACTTCAAGATCAAGGCATAGAATGGGAGGAGGCTAAAGGCGTCGGACACTACTGTCTTAAGTGTAAATAGCATTGCGATCCATTTGACAGACTAGAGGAAGAATTCTGGCGACACTTTTCTTGCCAGTCTAAACAGGCAAAAGTGCAGCTCACCAAGTTCTCGCAAACTTCCCATTTCGTTTCGATATTTTGGCGAGTAAACGTGCGATTTTTATTATATTGCGACACGTAAATGAGTATCCTGCTTTTTAATTTTGTAATAACAGAGAAAATGGAGCCCAATAGTTTATAGCTTGGTTTATAGTGACTTATCTGGTAGAATATGTTAATTTATTTGGTACCAAGCCAAATGGAAGTGGTAAAGTTGGTAAGATTCGTTTTAATTTGAATAAATTTACGATTTGAATTTGGAATTGTGTAGGTAGTACTGCCACGGGTAAAGGTTTCGTCAAACTGACGCAGTGGAACTGTTTGTACAGCTAAGAAACGTAGGTCTAGCGCACAGAATGAAGTTTAACGAATTGTCACAATTTTATTGTAGTATGAATGTTCTGCAAGTCAGTGATCATTTCTCTGTATTAAACATCGAATTGAACGCAGCTGACATAACCTACTTCAACGGGTTAATATGAAGGGTAGCAAAATGACAGAGCCCTATCGTGCCTGATAAATAAATTGGAAACTAAATATACTGCAGCAAGTTGTTTTATTATAAACCGTCGATACTAAGGTAGGTCATATGTTAAGGCTAGCGCAAGCAGTGCTTACGTTCACCAGACGAAGCGCTTCATAAGCGCTACCCATAGACAGGAATACTCTAGCAAGGTTCTTCTCGCGCGAGTTGCTGTGTGGTAGCACTGTCGAGGTCCGTACGTCGACTCACGGTGATGTGTACACCTCGACAGTGCTATCAGACACCCGTCTTTAGGTAGCGCTAATGAAGCACTTCGTCTGGTGAACATTATCGTAACCATCACCACGAAACTTTTAAAGGTCTACAAACTTACCCCACATCAACATATCAATGAAATCTTAGGCGTCTTGATTCAAACACGAAAAGGTGCACAAAACGTTAAGTTTTAAACGCAAACAAACGAATTTAAAATAGGACGCCATATTCAGTTCTTGCTATTACATTTAACACGACATCGAAAAGACTGATTTGCGAACACTTCCCCGCCGGTTTTTGTTACTTTAAGGGTTGAATTTAACAACAAAATCAAAATTCACGTGATCACGTCCCGAGATCCTACACGCAAACGCCGATTTAAATTCGTACGAAAAGGAGAAGGGACGCCATAACTTTTTGTAGTTTAATATTACGTTTAAACACCGATTTACGTATGATGAACCGAAACGAACTATGTGCCAGAATTGTTCCCGTCTTTTATTTGACTTTTTTAAGTTTATTTTAATATCGCACTTCGTAAATTAGCAGCAAACCGAAAAAATACAACACGCTTGAAACGGCAGCAACGACATAGTTGGTCACGTGACGAAGATAGTGATCATGACGTCACAGCTGCAAGACTCGCTACGATTCGCCCGTTTCAAAAAATGGTCCAATCAAATGCATCCGGCTTTCTGTTTACTAGTTTTTCCCGGAATTCTAAAGCGATGGCAAATTTACTTCCCAAGATCTAAAAACTGTTGCTATTGCAAATCTTTTTCACACAGAAATGGCGAAAATAACTTCTCTGCTTCCCCTTTATTGGTATACATACATATACGTGGGCGAATGTCCGTGTCATTTAATCCAAAACGTAAACAAAGCAATTTCATGGAACCAAAATACGACCCAAACAAACGAAAGTTGCCCTAAAGCGTGAAATGTGGAACTTTCCCATATTCCCGTGAGGTCCGAGCGTAAGGAAAACCCCCCTCCGCCCCCCCTCCCTTGAAACAAATTCAATGTTTCTTTTGTACATCAATCGTTAAGATTTTTGTGCACTTTTGTGACTCCCGGTGCTGCGTTCTTGTTTAAAAACATTCAGCCCTAAGGGCACCCATATGACAATTTTTATCAAAGACCATCAAGCCTTCCTTTCCCTACCCCACAGACTTGCAGTGTTATGGTTCGTGGTCCTTTCTTAAACGTTATGGTGTAAGTGCTAAAACTATTAAATATTTTGGGGGAGAATGCAGAACGGGGGGTGTCTGGAATACCTCCCCAGGAAATGAAAATTCAGTGTTCATTTTCCTACACCTATCGTAACATTTTCGTACGTTAGAGGGGGGTGGCTCAGACCCCCTGGTGTTACATTCTCTCTAAAAATGTTCAGACCTAAGGACTCCCTCTAATCTTCCCGAAAAAAATGATAAAACCAGGAAATGAAATATTAAGCGTTCCTGTTCCTACCATTACCATACGATAGGTATTTTGATGAGAAGATTCGTCTCTCGTTTGGGATAAAATTATTAATAAATAAATCTACGATCCCCCCAATATTTTTATGAATGGGAAGATCGTGGATTTATTACTTAATAATAATAATCATAAGATGTTCGTGCGCTGTGACTCCCAGTGCTATGTTCTTGAGGCTCTCCTTCAAAACGTGCTGCCTTAGAAAGTTGAATTTTCCTTTTGTAATGCGAGTATTTTGTGGAGAAAAGGTTAGGGGAAAGCGACGTAAGTTCTGGAAAAAGCAGTCATGGTGCTTCCAGTAACTTAGAGCAAAAAGCTCGGTATCGTTGGTCTCGACCACAAAAACTTTCCTCAGTTTTTAGCGATACCTGACTAGCCGTTTGTCTACCCCCTGGTAACGATCTCAACGCTCCCAACGGAACTCTGATGAGATTTCCGAATGACAGTATGGCGAACCAAATCCAAGTCAGGGTAGAAGAGCTGGCGCCGAGAGGACTGCCTGGCCAAGGGGGAACTTGGTCATTGGACAGCGAACTTTGGTTACCGCGGGCGCCTCTCAGTTTCAAGTAGCCTTCTGATGGTAAGGGGAAACTGCCAGACCTCGTTGAAAAGCCTAATACTCGTGGGAGCGTCGAATTGGACTTAATACAAAAACCACTCAAGCTGTAACGGAGGACTCGCTACCTCCAACCATCACAGACCAAGGATTGTCCGACATCAAGAGGGCCTTATTGGGCTCTGACGAAGACCACTACTCTAGACAAGGGTACCGCATCCCTCTCTCCCTGAGGACTCCTCTCGGGTAACAAAGCCTATAATCCAAACGAATCTGAAAAATCAAACAGTACTCTCAGGAGCGCCGGCAAGTTCAAAGCGAGAAGACTAGAAAAGGGAGCAGAGCAGTTATGTCCTCATATGGGTGCGCAGATAATACCCTCAAAAAATCCTGTTCCATCACCTCAACTTCTCAAGTCATGGAGGAAAGGTGGAGGTGCTTCCACAGTTCCAAAAAAAAACCTTCCGAACCTGAAGTACAACCACCACAACAGCACCAGCAGCTGCTACAGGGACAACTGCAAGAAGCTACGGTTAAGCATCACAGTTGAGGCAACTTGTGGCCAGTTCGCCCGGTCCTATTTCAAATTGGGAGGAGTTTGTGAATATGGAGTCTGATTCTAGCAACGCCGGATAAGCCATAGACCTTAGGCAGGCGCCTCACTGTAAAGCAGGACATTGCCCTCATTCAAGAACCTTGGGTTGTTAAATCAAAGGTTTCTGGTCTTGGGGGCACAAAACGGCCATTATTTTGATATACAGCAAGAAAAACCTAGGGATCAACTGACAGCATTTATGGAAGCTAAAAGTGCTGCTAGTGTAAACAGTTTTGTGAGAACTTGCTAGTCTAGTCTATCTGCGCCTTAAGAAGTTAACGTGAGATAGGAAAAAATGGAGCCCAATAGTTTATAGCTTGGTTTATAATGACTTATCTGGTAGAATATGTTCATTTATTTTCCCGTACACCATGATGGTAGAAGGGTTTTGATTATAATAAATACCTAATAACGTTACAATCCTTGTTGTTTATTCCATATTATGCTGTAAAGGATCGTGACGGTTGCTTTCAAGTTGGGGCTATAATGTAACTGGAATTCACAGTGATGACCGAAGGCTTTATTAATTTCGAGTGCGTTAAATGAAATTCAAATTTAAGGGCGCTTGCGTATGCGCAGTACCGAGGGAGTCAATGTGCAACACATCTGCAAGTAGATTATCTAACCTTACCAGGGTTGTATAAAATCACTCCTGACTTATTACATTTTGAATTTCTAACAGCGTTGGAAGATAATTATGATTAGACCTAAAGGAAATTATAATAAATTAAAGCTGATATTAGGAATTGCTTTGGGATTACATGTAATTGGATATATTGCAAAACCATATTTTATTGCAGGACAGAAAGACCCAATCAAAGATGGTAAATGAAATGTCAGGGTCCAACTACCTACCCTCGAAAAGACTCATTTCCACACTACCACAAAATGTAATTGAAATGTAATGTCGCATGTATAAATATTAAAGTAATTATCTACATTAACTATTTTATTTACAACCAAACTAATCCGATTCTACATATTTGCCACCATAGTACGGTAGATATTGTAAAACTGCTTTCCATTCGGTAAAATAACAGAGTGCTAGTCCTGCAGTAGCTCCATAGGCAGCACCAGTTCCAATCCTAAAAATGTTACATAACAAATTTGTTCGGAAGTGTAAAAGACATACCAATGCGAAGCCATTTCTGCGTGCTTTTTGCCAAAGCGTGTACACATTCTAGGCATTAAAGAATTTATTATAGACATTTTTAGTTTTCACAAGTGTCCCGAAGCTATTTGGGAAATAATCGATCGTTGTAAAGTTAGTAACGATCTAAATTTTCATGAAGTTAGCTTAGCTGCACAATAAATAGCCGCATTTAGCGGATTTGTATTGGACGCATTCTACAAATTGGTACTGTATAAAGATCATTGATTATATGCAATAATTGATTAGTTATCGATGATAATGACGTGCAGAGCATGTACCCATATTTTTAAAAATTTAGGTGAATTTATAAAGATGTCCACAGTGTATGGCAAAATATACACAAGTGCGTATAATCAAACTATCTGCAGCATACTGCATTAGCTTTGTTTATGAATAAACAATGGAATTAGGTAGTCCATAGCTATATTTAATTGAAAAATTGGTGAACTGCACTTCTTTACTTTATATGCACTCATGTTTGAGGTGTGGAAATAGAGCTTTAATGGACTTCGTATCTCTCAAGTCATTTTTACTTGTACTTAATATTTTATTTGGCTATATATTAAATGAATGAATATAAATGCGACATGTAGGTTTTACTTCAAAATGGTAAAACTATTGATCCAAAACATGAAGTGTGAATTTTTAAATTTCCCGCATGTTTGTGCTGTCATTCTATTGAGTCCCACGCCCCCATCCTTCCATGTGATTATGCGGTTGTTGTATACATTTTTAAATTTCAAACAAACATTAGGATAGTTATAATCGATAATATGAGTGGTGCAATTTATGGTGGAGGTATGTATAGATAGTCCTTTGTGTGTCCTTAATCAGAATTGTTTTCAGACGAAGTCGGTGCATTGGTCTTAGATATTGGTCATAATACAGTCCGTGCTGGTTATGGTGGTGAAGACAGCCCTATATTGGATATACCCAGTAACATTGGTATTTGGGCAGATTCGCAAGATGATGTGGGTGAGCCCCGATACAAATACAACATTGGCCTGACTGCCATTCACGTTAAGCGACCAGGTATCTTGTTTATCAACCTATGTAATTGTTTGTAGATTCTTATTTGGCCAGGTATGGAGTTGGTCCCATTTTTAAAAGAGGGAATGGTTGATAATTGGGATATGTTTGAGAATTTAACAGACTATATTTATAAACATGCTCTGGGGGCTGTACCTTGCGACCATCCCATTTTAATCTCTGAACCACCGGTAAATAGTATGTTTTATACTAGTTTATACCAAAGCTTTTTGTAGTGGATAACTCCACCGAAGCGTGAACAAATGGCAGAACTAATGTTTGAAAAATACAAAGTGCCAGCACTATACCTAGCAAAGAATGCAGCACTGGCTGCATTTGCTAATGGACGACCTACATGTCTAGTTGTCGACAGTGGTGCTACACACACTTCGGCAGTTCCTCTTCTCGACGGGTAAAAGTGGTATGGTCTAATATTCTTGCCAATTTAAATTTTAGGATTATTCTCACGCACGCAGTTGTCAAATCACCTGTCGGAGGTGACTATATTAGCATGCAGTGTCGACATTACTTGGAGGAGAAAAACATTGACATTATTCCCCCATATATGATTTCGAGTAAAGAACTGACGAAACCGGACGAACCTGCGAGTTGGAAGATTAAGACTTGCCTACCTAAAGTCACAGAGTCATGGCATAATTATATGGTGAAGGTATGAGCTATTTGCCTCAGTCTCAAGCCTGATCTTTCATGTTTCATGAAAACAAATCCATTCACATAGGACCTTATTTAAGAGTTCATTTTACGTTCATTTTAAACGGTGTAACAAAAATATCTCAGAGTACTTGAATAACTTTCTTCTACAACATTTTACAACTGGAAAAACAGACTGTCTTGGAATAATACCACGAAAAAATCCTACGATTCACTTTTTCCTATGCTATTTAAAACATCTTTCCTTCTTTTAGTTTCTGCCTCTCCCCTATTTGAATTTGCGTCTTCGAAATTAAACACATGTTTATGCTTATCTTGAAACTAATTAACTTACGCAGCGATAACAAATTTCTTATTGCAATGACCGGAGATAACATGAGATAAACTTACAAAACATTTCACGCAAATATTTTCAAATGAACAATAAAATACTAAATACTACGCGATTATTATAGGCATATGATGTTACCCTAAGATACGTAACTCCTTACTTTTGTTTAATCTGACAAAAAGAAAGCTTTAAAGTTTTAATTGTAAACAACATTCACAATGAAAGACTCTTGAGTAATAACTAACAAGGTTTTAAACATAAGGTTCTCTATTGTTGTCCCCAATCATGCACCATTCAGCACATAATCACCTTCCTGAATATTATTATTATTAATTCTTCTAAATTCCTTAATTAATATGATAAATACCCGTGATAAATATTATATTTGAAACTTCCTTATTAAATATAAATAGGTAATCAGAAAATTATGTGCAAAAATGTATCAAAATATGGGTTGCACCAACTAGCTCACTGGAATCGGACAATTTCAATCTTACCTCGTCAATCTCACAAAACTAATTTTTTTATGTACTCCTTGACATAAAAAAGCTGATTCAATTGGGAGGAAATCACTATGATACAAAATAAAATTGAAAATGATATGAATTTGTTTAGTTTGTTTATATTGTGCACTGAATAAGATTTTCTTAGGAAGTGATGCAAGATTTTCAAGCTTCAGTTCTTCAAGTATCTGATAACTTGTACGACGAGGAGGTTGTGAAAAGTATGCCCGCAATACATTACGAATTTCCGCACGGTTTTCATAAGGATTTTGGCGTTGAGCGCTTCAAGATTCCGGAACCGCTGTTCAATCCGACCACGAGCGCTAAGGCTGGTATTCAACCGATTTTAGGTGTTGGTCCGTTAGTAACGACCAGTGTGGGAATGTGCGATATTGATATTAGACCTGTAAGATCTTTAAAAAATGTTAAGAACTTAATCGTTTTTTATAGGCCATGTATGGAAGTGTGGTCGTGACTGGAGGCAATTCCAACATTCAGGGTTTCAATGAGAGGTTAAATAGAGATCTGGCCGCTAAAACACCACCTGTAAGTATGCGTATGTATGTTGTATGGCCTTATTCTCATAGTAGCAGTTTGATTGATGTTGGCAAAATAAATTTAAAAAAAATGTTTTTTTCTTCTCAAAGAAAGTTAGTATCCATCATGGTAGGTTTATATCAAACATATTACACGGCTATAAATTATTGTAATGTGACATGTTGACTGCACATCCCACATTAAAATCCCATGCTATTTTGCAGCCTTTTTTGGAAGCTGTATAATTTGTACATTTACAAAACAGATTCATATTATAAAAATAGATCTGTTGCAATGTTGTTACGTTTCTACTAATTATGCAAAAATGGATTTTGTACAATATCCTCAGAAAAAATTGTTCTCCAAATACTCTTGCGTATATTTTTGCGAAATGTGCTAGTGGGTATAGGTTTAACGGCAATTGTTTTAAAATGGCGCATGGATGAAGTGACTTGAAACGATTCTTTAATTGTAGATATCTGGTATCGTCCTCACAAACACGACATTAGCGGTCGCATGATACATCTATATGTAAAACATATGAGAAATGCATTTCATTCTATTCTATTCATAAGGGGAGCCCAACCAGGCAGACACACTGAAGGCTCATTCTGTCTACCCTCTTTTTTTTACAACTATAGGTTTAGAACCCACTCCTCTCAGTAATGGATAGGAACCTCTTTAGCCTAAGTTGCTGCACTCTTCCCAGTTCCAGACTGTCGCCTAGGAGCTGTGATGTCTCTCTGATTAAAGCGTAACAGTGACAGACCACATGTCGTGTAGTTTTATCTGCCTCGCCACAGAACCTGTAAGTGGGCTCTCTTAAAAGCCCAACGTTGTGATAGGGGACTATCCAGTAGTCAGTACCCCGTGAGCATACTGGTGATCTCCCTAATCTGGCTTCTATTCAGTTTTATAAGCTAGAAGACCTAGATTTACCAAGGGTCCTGGACTGTCCGAGTCCAGTTGCTTGTTGCCACTTAACCTGGAATTAACTGGTCGCCCTGGCTCTGACAACGAAGGGAGCAATTCCTAGAGTAGATCACTGACCTAAATAAAAGATGGATGAACAATACGCGCAACATATTAAGTCATGCGCAATGGACATGAACGAGTACTAAAGTGATTGTTGGTTGTGTATACCCTATACGTGCATTACAATTCCATAAAATGTAAATTGGTTTTTCTTGACAATTGGAATTGAGCAATCATTTATTTGTATGTATTTAAACAAGTTACAAGTTAGTTTACAGTTTCTTTGTGATCACCAACAAAATATGAGACCATAGAGTGCTTCCCTTTTATTTGAGACGCTTGGTCAATAAATTTCATTAATTAAGACATTTTGAATAGAACGTCTCATTCAATACATTCTACTGTCAGTGAGCTGTGTTAAAAACCTAACCAGGCAGTGAATTTAGTGCAATATTCCTGAATGAAATAAGGGAGCGCCTATCTATGTTCAAGAATAGTCTATCTTACTGCTACAGATTTGTACAGCATGGAATATCTTTAAGCTACTGTAGCGAACATTCCAGAAATCTCGATAGACTTTGAGGCGCCATGAAAGATTAGTCATCGGCGATAAAGGAACGAACGCGGATGTGACGTAATCTTTCCTCGAATTATGACGTGTTTTTGTTCTACACATTTGAACAGACTCGAGAAAACTCGGGTTATTAAGCAAATCGAATTGCGTTTCAGGCGAAGTTTCAGGACAGTTCCTACATCAATGTGTTCTTGTTACGTTATAAATTGTGAGTGATAAATTTTAATTAGTTACTGTTATAAATTAATTGATGGTACGACTTATAGATTTATTGTTAGTTAATTGTAAATACTTAAATAAAACCATATAATTAAATTTATGTTACATTATTTACTTTATGCCTGTATTGGTTCCCTTTAAATTCAGCATTACGAAAAATCATGCGTTTTATAGTACTATTGTTTTAAAAAAACATTAATTATCGTAAAGTATGTTTTATACAGCAAATTATCCATTGATAAACAGCCAAATTTCATTAAAATTTTGAAATTTCAGTTTGCAAAAGTCCATAAGCCATTTTTCATTTTGAACAATTGCTTTGTATTGGTGTATGTATTGACTACAAAGAATCTTTGCAGAGCATGCGGTTAAAGGTGATCAGTGCTGCAGGAGCAGTCGAACGAAAGTTTGGTGCATGGATAGGGGGATCGATATTAAGCTCTCTTGGTTCCTTTCAGCAGTTGTGGGTATCAAAGCAGGAGTATGATGAAGGAGGTAAAGCAATAGTTCAGTCTAAATGTCCGTAATTTGGCGTCTGGTATTTGATTTGGGCGAGGGTAAATTGCTTGATAAGAAAACTTCGAAATTTCAATTACTCATATCTGTCCTATTCTCAGAGCCATTTTGTATATCAATATCTTCTAGTATAAGAGAGTTTATATTCTGATCGTTTGTGACTGACTCAATAACAATTATTTAAGTTCCTTTTACAATTAATGTAGTTGGAAAATTCGGCTTAACTCTAGTTTTCTATTTTAAATGTGTCATATATGGTAAGGTAATTCACCATTGCTTCACAAAAAGTGAACATTTTAGATTGGAAGGTATTTTTTATATATCGAATAGTGGTGCCTACGAAAACTAGGGTTAATGGCTTCATGTGTTCCGTAAAAAATGTGGTGCATATTATTTATCTAACATAGAACTAAAAGACTTATTTTTTAATGCAATGTGTTAAACGCTATGGACATAATTGTTTAAGACTGCAACTTATCAACTAAGGCTCAATACTACTTTAAGTAAAAAAAGTATTATTTTTGGTCTCGTTAAACGTATTATTTTAACTTGTGAGTGAAATTTTGTGATATGTCTAGTTTTGACGTTAAATTCCTAAACGTTAAGTTAAATCTAAATGTTCCTATTAATTATTTTCATTTCAGTTTACACATTTATAAAGTCTGATTTTTTTTATGGTAGGATTAGTTAAATTTATTTAATCTGTCGCTAATTTTTATTAAGACTGAAATACGAAAGCACTTTAAAAAGGCAGCAGTTTGTATTTTATATCTAAATGATGAGCAACTTGTAAATTCTGTAATTGTCAATTGATTTTGAGCATGTCATGTTTTATTGTGATTTGTATTCATTGTAACTTGAAAGTGCCAAAATGTGCAAATATATAGTTAACATAAGTGAGTCGAAAATCATGACCCTTTGTTCCCTTTTGCACTAGCAAATTTGAGCATAAATGTGGCCCCATCCTACATGTATTTATTGAACTGATAGCGGAAAATTTACCAATAATTGAATGAGGAACAGGTCGTACCCAGGGGGTGGCCAGGTGGGGCTGAACCCCACATAGAACGTGGTGTTGCCCCCACTGGAAATTATGGTTGATGGTTCCTTTACAAAAATTACAGGGGAAGTCTATCAAAAACTTCCTAGAAAAATACTGTCCACCCCTGCTACTTCATTCTGGCCGGCCTGGTGAGGAAGGGCGGAAGTGTTCTCTTTCTAGTAGAGGCATTGAATTTATAAAAATTCAGTGGTAAAACAAAATCTACAGATTAGAACAAACATTGTAATAACAGATAACAGGAGATGGGTGGTTCACTTCTGATATAAACGCGTTGATTTGCAGATTTGAGCCAAACGTTATTACCTTCATCTGCGTGGAGCATGAATTTCAAAAGTATTTTACAAATTCCGCAGATGAACATGAGACGGGTGGCTCCCTCTTAATGTGCAAGCAGAGAACAGTGTGAAAGTTTGAATGGAAACTGTAGAAACATGAGATGGGAGTTTCCTTTCTAATTTAAAAGAATATGCAAATTTGAACGAAAATTGTAGACACAGATGGCCTCCCTCTAATGTAAAAGCGGGAAAGTTACACTTTGGCCAAAGATCGTACTATTATCTTTGCTTTGACTTTGATTTGTTTAGCCGACTGCTCGAGATTTTCATGAAAATGTTACACACTTCGGCTGCTTGCACTTCAAAGATTAAGGTTTATACAAAAGAGTAAGTCCACACGGCTCAAGTTTCTGTCTGGGTATCAGTTTCCCTGGACAAACGTATGATTTCAATTTTTGTCATTCAAACACTAAAAATTAATCCGATATTTGTACTGAAAGTAACAGCATTGATTATTATTCAATGGTAATAGCCAACTTGATAAAATGTACAATAACCTTACCTGTACCATGCGCTTAATAATATTTTCCAATAGAAACAAAGGGGTATACAATTCACGTTACCTACAGAAATAATTGTAACGGTGGTAATTTACACTCTGTGAAGTCCAGCGTTTCATATTTGAAAATTGGTTTAACAGAAAAATGAAGATACCTACACATTCCCATTTATTTTTCTAAGATAATTAGGTACAAAGCTATTAGCATAGTATAATACAAAATATTTATTATAATACAAAATATTATGGTATTAGTAACAATATGGAATATAACTTAAATATAGCGTATACATTTTGATTAAAAGGAACCCTAACAACTAAGTAAAGCAATAATTTCTATCAATTATTGTACAAACGTTTTTTGATTTGAGATTTGATAAAATGAATCACAACGTGATACCAGCCCAAACGTTCTCCAAGTTCCAAATCTTCATCGTTTCGGTCAATGGTATGAATTTGAGGAGCGATATTCAGTTTCTCAAGTTCTTCATTGACAACGGCATTGTGATTTAAAACCTGGCGCTCGATCAGTTCTTGGTCGACGGCATCATCCTCTTCGCGAAAGCGATCTGGACAATATACGGGGTAGCAGTAATGGGCGTAGTACAATGCAGTTCCAATGAAGATTAGAGTAAATGCTATAGCAAACACTCCTGTTGCGTTCAATCCGCAAAAACCTCCTGTCAAAAAGAAAATTACGCAAATAAGCAAAATAAGTTGGAACGCAAATTAGACTTTCCAAAGTACTTACCGTGCATCTTTTTTGGAGTGGTGATAGTTTTGTTTAGGCCAACTAATCCATCATCTTCCGCAGCTTGAGAAATTACATCTCCAAAAAGTACTGTAACGAGCATGAACAATTACCTGGAATATTATAATAAATAATTATTTACGTACCGATTATAATAAATAAAATTGTTTCCATTTTTTCCACTGTAGTATCGAAATTTGGCAAAACGCACTAAGATTATTATTGGCAGAGCGGATTCTAAGGTAGCTTATTTTAAACGAGCAGCTTTAAGCGCGCAAACTTTTAGGAAAGCAAAGTGAAAAGTGAGAAAGAAATTACTCCCCCTTCCATTCATTAGTAATTTGCACAGAGTACGTAAGTAGGAGAGGGGCAAAATAAACGAAATGAATTTTTTTATTCGTAAATGAAAATGAAAAAAAATTTTAAGTTCCGTGACGAAATTGTAAAAATTTCGCTTAAGTTCTCAAAAGGTTTTGTTTCAGTAAATATTTCTATTAAGAGTTTGAATTTGTTCACGTTAACTTGATCAAATAGGCGCGTTCGTCCAAATGGCTAACGCTAAAGTATGTTTTTCATTACTCGCAAATCTATTTTTTGAATGCCCGCTAGATGAATGTGTACCTACTTTTTTCAACTGTCATAAAAGCCACTGTTAGTAGGAATTCTTATTCAAGTTGGTAAAATATTTGCCCTTCAAATGCACCTGAGACATTTGAACCAGTAAAAGCTAGAATTCGCTTTGTGCAACCTGCGATGTTTAAACCTCTGAAAAAGTACAGCTTTGCACGATGGCCAAATGCTGAGCTCTCAAACAAAGAAACGTACAAATGGGCGGACGGAATTCAGATAGATCTCTTTATCAAAACTACGCTAAATAAGTTTGAAGAGCGAAAAATATTCTTGGTTCTATACCCACAAAAAAATGATGTCGCAACTCGCTAAAGCTTTCTGGATACACTGAAAGCATAAGGCCGGGTGAGCGGCTCTATCATTTTTTTGCAATTACATTGTGGACATGCTTAGGCTTACTGCTTATTAATTTAGTTAGAACAATCAATTTCTAAAACATAATGTGCGCTTAAAAAATTAATAGGTAATCATGATTTGTTAAAACCCGTACCTATAGTGCATTGAGATGCAATTGATGCCAATTTCCGCAACTTTGATTTCATGTGGGGCGCAGCAACAATGTATAAAATGACTGTAACTATATAAGTTACACAGATTTTAATTACCAAAAAGTAGCAAATCAGCAACTTTCTTGAAATTCCGTTGACTCGCTTCGTCTGTGTATTCTTTCTAAATCAGACGGTTTTTTTCTACTCTGCCTCCTATTTCGTGTTTATAAAGCCATTCTCTGCATTCTCATCTACTTTTGGTTGGTTTAATGTTAAAATATGACTTTTTTTGGTGTTCCCTCTTTACCCAAAGTCATTCGTACTTTTTCGATCAGACTTCTCAATCAAAAGTTATAGACTAGAAACCAATTTCGAAAAAAAATTCAAAGGGCTGCAACTTTTGAACTAGTAGCCCAATCTTGGAACTGTTTGAAATTATGGATTCTACAGGCCACATTCTATAAGAAAATTTTTTTTCCGGGGCGATCTGAGACAATTTTTTTTTTCGGGGCTCAAAAAAAGGCAGTGTATAACCTTCCTTTTTTACCAAAAATCGACTGCACCAAAATTTCTCGGGAAAACACTTTTTCTTATTAATTTTGGTGCGTAGAATCCAAAACAATTCGTACTTTTTCGATCAGACTTCTCAATCAAAAGTTATAGACTAGAAACCAATTTCGAAAGAAAATTCAAAGGGCTGTAACTTTTGAACTAGTAGCCCAATCTTGAAACTGTTTGAAATTATGGATTCTACAGGCCACATTCTATAAGAAAATTTTTTTCCGGGTCGATCTGAGACAATTTTTTTTGAGGGCCTCAAAAAAAGGCAGTGTTATACCTTCCTTTTTTTTGAAAAATCAACTGCACCGAAATTTCTCGGGAAAAAACTTTTTCTTATTCATTTTGGTGCGTAGAATCCAAAACAATTCGTACTTTTTCGATCAGACTTCTCAATCAAAAGTTGGAGGCTAGAAACCAATTTCGAAAAAAAATTCAAAGGGCTGTATCTTTTGAACTAGTAGCCCAATCTTGGAACTGTTTGAAATTATGGATTCTACAGGCCACATTCTGTAAGAAAATTTTTTTTCCGGGTCGATCTTACACAATTTTTATTTCGGGGTTCAAAAAAAGGCAGTGTATAACCTTCCTTTTTTACCAAAAATTGACTGCACCAAAATTTCTCGGGAAAACACTTTTTCTTATTAATTTTGGTGCGTAGAATCCAAAACAATTCGTACTTTTTCGATCAGACTTCTCAATCAAAAGGTATAGACTAGAAACCAATTTCGAAAAAAAATTCAAAGGGCTGTAACTTTTGAACTAGTAGCCCAATCTTGGAACTGTTTGAAATTATGGATTCTACAGGCCACATTGTATAAGAAAAATTTTTTTTCCGGGTCGATCTGAGACAATTTTTTTTTCGGGGCTCAAAATTATTAACACGTTTCTCTAATTGGGGTCGATGTTAGGTTGTTAAAAAATTCTGTTTTAATTGAAGTGTTTTACAATGAATTTATCATTTTTTTGTCGTAGCATGAAAGTGCTGAAATACAATGATAGGCGACGCACCTCGTGTGGATTGTATATTTTGTTACTTTTAATTATCAGCTGCAATTAAAAAAAAAAACTTTTCGAGAAAGGAGTAAAATGTTTTTGTGGTGCACCTCAGAGCTACCCCCCCCCCCCCGTCACCATCATTACTACACTAATACTTTAATGGCCGTAACCTATGCAATTCCACCTGGCCCGCAGGTACCCAGTCCGCCCCTGTTTGTCGATACAAGTTTTTTCTAACTAGCGCATAAATCACAACTATACAGGGTGGTACACATAAGCATGTAAAGAAATTGGGTGGTAGACGGGATCAAAACAAGCACTTTTTGTAATAAACGGACGGTCCAACGTGTTTCGTTTGGTAGCCAGCCTCAAAAAAGTGGTGAAATCTAAGTTTCTTCTTATGGTACTTGGAATAATGCCTATGGATTGTAATGGAACTCTACTTATTAAATAACGTTTTCCCACCACCCGAAGCCACGCACAATCTACATCTTAGAATCGAATTTGTAGACTTGAATACCATCATCTACATATCGATTTTTTAGCGCATTTTTGCAAAAATTTTTTTTTTGTAAAAAGTAGCTTTTAATCTCACTTTGGCTGGCTGGCTGGTCGGCTGGCTGGCTGGCTGGCTGGCTGGCAGTAAATGCGCGCCCGTAGAAAAACGCTTGTAAAAAGACAAAGAGTGTACATGTAACTATCGGGGCCGTGTAATTAAGAACGTTAGGGATGGGGCTACAAGATTTGGAGTCGACGACATCTGGACGCCATCCCCGAGCGTATTATACTAACCTGGAGATTTTGCAGTTTTTATCTATCTTCTTCTACAGTTTTTCTCCGATTGTTTTCAAATTGGTGTCGTCGGGAAGATCTTGTCAACGCGCACAACTCCTGCGTGGCGGAATTTTGTTTTTTTTCCTAGGGGCGAAATAAACCACCTTTTGCGCGGCGCGCTTCGAGGGGTTGTCGACTTTGGGCCCCCAAAAGTTTCTTACAGCGCGAATCGCGGTCTCTCTTTCTCGTGTCACTAATAGAAGGTCGAGCTATGTGAAGTACCCAAAAGTTGAATACGATTTTATGCCGGGATTTTAGCGAAATCTACCAAAATGTGAATTACGAATGAACGGGACGTCGGAACTGTGTATCGACAAAGGGAATGTGGTAACCCCTGACGAGATCTTACTGATGGTGGAGTCGAAACTTCAAATCCGAATTGTTGCGGGTGATCAGAAGTGGGTGTCGACAAAGGGAATATGGTAACCCCCAAAGGATTTTACTGATGGTGGAGTCAAAACTTCAAACCCGAATTGCGAGTGCACGGTAAGCGAGAAAATGGTACCGACAAAGTGAACGTGGTAGCTTTCGGCAAGATCTTATTGAGGGTGGAGTCAATATTGGCTAATAAAACACTGATCTGCCACACAAAAATGCGCTGAAGTCCCTTCGATCTCACACGAGGACTTTGATCATTTTTTAGTATCATTTAATAATATCGACTTAAATCGATAATTGTTTGTTATTTGCTACATTTTCAACAAACTGCATGCGAAATTAGATGGCTCACTAGTATAGGCGAGGGACAGTTTGTGACCCGACGGACCAATCTTCAAATGAATACCTATAACTTTCGTTTGAAAAGTGATTTTAAAAATTTGTTCGACAATTCTCCCCATTTTCGTTGTCCGGCCCAAAATTGTAGTGGAATTTTTTTTCGAATTTTCAAATTTCAAATTCGCGACCAAATTTCGTCGAAATTAGAACTTTTTTTCGCACTCCTATTTAGCGGTGCACCCTTCCGTGGTAGCAATTTAAAAAAAAATTTGCGAAATCGGAAAAAGCATACCCCAAAACCTATTCAAAGATCAGTCTTTCTAACTCCTATAGTTGCTGAGAAAAAAATAAAAGGAGAAATGCAAATTTCACTACTTTTTTGGGGGTGGCTAGAAAGATTAAACCTACAACTCTCGACTCATTGTAGAATGCTCGGGTTTGAAGCATTAGCTGTCTGTCACAGTTCTTTACATGCAGATTGTATGTATTTCAGCGCCAATAAAATCTCAATCTGTAGCACAAAAACGTTTTACATACTTGTACACACCTACACAGGGTGTAACACAAGTATGCGGAAATTTGGTGGAAGATGAGCACAAACATACATGAGTTGAAACCATTCAGGCTCTAGTTCAACCCCCCTCCCCCTATGGGCTACCTCATGAACTTGGTGAAGGTATGATTCCCCGGTTACGTAAACCTAGAACTTCCACGGCGAAAAAGTCGTAGCCTTGGTGAAGGGGATTCGTTCATCCTCCTTCAGTTCCCTTTTGTTAGTACGTATAGCAAAAAAAATTTGTTTTCACTTTTCCTAATTTTCATTACTTTATTTTGTGCTTATAAATCTTATATACCTACTGCATTTTAATTCTTGATTCGCCAACACTCGCACATCAAGCGTGTGTAGTTTTAGCGATCATTTTGGATCAAGGTAACTCAACTTCATCTAAACCCCAATTTGACCGAAGAAAAAGGTGTGTACCTACATGTAAAAAAATTGGATTGCGTATGATATGATATGAACAATTTGAAATAACGCATGAGGAAATAGATTACATGTGTGCAGTGTAAACGTTGATATTGGTGACCGAATTTTTTCGAAATTTTAACAAAAGGCTTTCTTATAACAGGAAACTTTCTTTCTCATTTGTGGACCACTTTTCGTGATAATTTAACTGAGGATGATTTATTATAATAATAAGAGCAAATTGAAGCACAGTGAACTTTTTATTATGAGACGAATTTCTCTAAAATTTTAACCAAAAACGAATTTGGCTGGGGTAGCCAATTTTTTCGCAAAAAAAGTTCCTATCTGTGGAAATGTGCTTTTCGCAAATCGTTTACGATTACTCATATAACTTGTTTGAAATTAAATTATTTTGAATCGAAAGTTCCATAAATACTTTGGCAACCCTACACCCCATCACCAAAAAACGAAACATTCCCACCAAAATCGGAAGTCTCGGTAACTTCGCATATTGATAAATTTCTTCCACTATAAATTTACATTTATCAAAGTTTAAAAATAAACACAGTAAGAAAGCGCGCATGTGGTAATTTGTTTACAATTATTTTACCTTCGGCGAATGTTTATTAAAACATGAGTGGTACTAACCTTTGACGTCAAAATATGGGTCATACACCTTTATCGTGTTATTCTTGCGATATTGAGTTTACCAGTAAAAGCATGAATCACTAATTAAGCTTGAATAATCTATAGAAAAATTGTTTATTTTAAATAAAATTGAATCGCACCTTTTCATATAATTTTATCAATGCCTCGATTTGTTGTATATTTATACTAATTAAGTATTTATATCCGTATATCCAAACGTTGGCGAGGGCCTCAGAATATGAGTGAGAATCATGAAAAAATAGTGAGAATAGATGTCTATAGTTTACAAGCTTTCAATGGTAGTTTCGGTAGACTTTTGTAAAAAGAGCCTCGTTTCGGCAAATGGACAAATGTGAATTAAGTAGAGATTCAGTTCCTTAGCTTTTATATGTAGGTATAAACGACCAAAGAAAACTAAAAAAATTTAACAACTACTGTCTTTGCCACAAAAGAATATGCATACTACGTCATCATTTCTGGACTCTCATATAGTATTTACCATGCATATTTTTGTGGGCGGCTAATAAAACAAAAATTGAATAGATAGTGCACATTCACTGGTCTAGAAATTTTATAAAGAATCCACCTGCAGAATTGCATCGTAATCGGTCCACTAGTTTTTGAGACATCGTGGTAACGGACGGACGGACGGACAGACACAGCAAAATTGTAAGCTCTGTGAATTAAGTGGGTATTATTTGATCGTTTATATTTCTGATCACTCTTTTGGCTCCAAAGTGTTCGTCTATTGGTACATCAGAAAAAGTGTTAATTGCGCATCGTTTTTTTTATTACAAACGACCTTCCTCAAACCCCTTCTTGTGTCCTGGGTTTGTTTTTTACCTGACTTAGATTAGGCACGGTACATTACGTCAATAATTTCCACATAAAAATAAAGGATGAATTAATGCAAAGTGTAATGCAATAAAATTATAATTGTGTACAGGGGCCCTGTATGTCAAAGTACCCTGTACATAAAGAAATGTGTGCTGTAGGAATATTCGTAAGAGCAGTTGGTGCTAAAGTTGTAAGCCTGCTAACGGCTACCTTCATTTGAATATATCTCCATGGTGATGGTTGTTGACATGTGTCTGAATCTGACTGTCACAAAGGAGTTATGTCTGTTTTACTAAGTTCCAAAAGTGGTTTCATATATTAAATTGCAGTAATAATGTATATTTACTTAAGCAAAAAGGTGAGAAAAGTGCTTTCCTTAAAACAAAAATATACCGAAAATGTTTTTACAGATCGCAATCCCTAATAACATTCGAGTAACTTCAATTGCTTGGAACAAGGAGGATGGTTTCATAGCCGTAGGTGGCGAAGGTGGTCTGCTAAAAGTTTTGAAACTTGATTCCGGTACGTCGGGATGAATTAATTGTAACTGATTGGCATTTGTTTTAAGGTAATGATGCGGAAAGTGGCGGTAAAACTAAAGGCATCTCGTCTTCTTCGAACCTTTCAGTTAATCAGACATTAGACGGTCATTCAGAAACTGTCCAGGTCATAACGTGGAATAACAAATTCCGTAAATTAACAACAAGTGACCGCTCTGGAATGATTATCGTATGGATATTGTATAAGGTGAAGCCAATTATTTTTTCTTTTGCTATTAGTATGACGAGTGACTTATTGCAGGGCACTTGGTACGAAGAAATGATAAATAACCGAAAAAAGTCTGTGGTTGTAGACATGACCTGGAGTGCCGATGGAAATAAAATTTGTATTATATACGAAGATGGGGGAATTATTGTAGGGTCTGTTGATGGGAATCGAATTTGGGGGAAAGAAATAAAAAATGTCACCATGTCAAAGGTGCAGTGGTCACCAGATGCTTCAATATTGCTATTTGGTTTCACTGATGGTAATATTCACATTTACGATTCTTCAGGTGCTTTTACAGTAAGTTGTTTGAGCACCATCTGCTGGCTATTGCCATGGGGTACCTTAACACAGAAAATTGCACATGGCAATTGTACAGGATGACTAGTTTGTACACCTCTGTTATACAAAATAAACATTTTGAATATGTATTATGTACCTACCTATTGGATACTTTTGGTATATTTGAAAAAATCTCAGTTCCCTCAGAAAAGAGAGCCAAGAGTGTTCCAACTCGCTCTTATAGTCAAAATTCATTTTAAAAAAATGTAAAAGCAATAATTAATTAATTTGGAAACAAGACATGGTTTCAAATACGCTTTCAATAATTTAACAATTTTTAAAAAAAGAAATTGTGATTATTATATTACTGCAGACTACCTACTTAATTTGTTAAAATATGATGCAGCCGATAAAAAAAAGCTTGCAAACTCCCTAATAGGATGGCGCTTCAACTAATAATGCTATTACCTTCATAGGGAACGATAGAATTAATACCTGTACATGTATTAAAAATGACTGTCGGTGCTAATATCGTCGGTATGGATTGGTATAATGGACAAAATGGTCATGTGTATGCTGCCAGTTCAACACTAGCAGTTTGTTGTGAAAATGGACACCTACAGTTAATGCGTAATCCTTTTCACCCTTGTAAGTTAAAGGTAATTTTACACATTTATTTATGAACCTAATTTAACAGATCCGATCTATGTCGATACGAAGATGACAATATCGTGTTGTAGTTGGAACCATAATGGCTCCTTATTGGCTATAGTGGGTAGACAACAATTACATGATGACAGTAAAAGCAGCAATGTGGTACAATTTTACAATCCATTTGGCGAGGTAAGCGACTCGCAAAGTGTCACATTTTGTCCTCATCAGCTTTCAGCATTTACGAACTTTAAAACTGCCAGGCCAACATGTATCGTGCTGCACTTGGGAGGAGGGGTCGTTACGCATAGCTTTTGGAATTGACTCTTCAGTGTACTTTGCAAACATTAGACCCGACTATAAATGGTGTTATTTTAAAAACACTATCGCCTATAGCTCAGGGCGTTTGTACAAAAATGGGGTGTGTGTTACATTTTGGGACATTGTGAATTACCAGGTAAGGAAAACCTTGGGAAATACTCAAGCAAACCTTGGTCATTTTAGGTGCATGTTCAGTATGTTCTCGGTTTGTTAGATATGGCAGCTTATGATAATCACTGTGTTCTGCTTACAAAGTTAGCGGGTGATGATCCAATGGGACGTTTTGGTTTGATACTTTGCAGTGCTTCTGGAGCTGTTGTGGATGGTATTAATTTTTATGTCTTTAAATCAATTTTAACACTGGAATGGACTGAAACAAATACTATCTTTCGTACGCAGTTGTATATCCTTCTGCAAGCGGATTTTCAACTGTGATTAATAAATTGTTTTTGCAACTTAACTAGCCACTCCAAAAAATAATGTAACGCAATTTGTCCACCTTGGACCCCAACGCTGTCGTGGTAACAATTTATTTGTATTCGTGTTTGAGATTGCCAATTATGATTTCCGGGATTTCTCTACAGATGCAAACTAGATTTCAGGGTTTGTAGGCCCAAATGGTAGAAACAACGAATTTTCAAACCTGGTCTTTCCATTTGTTGTCGTCTTGTCGCCCTGTCAAAATATTAAGTACATCATGGTAATAGACCTATTAGCAAAGATTCTAATCAATTTTACGGATTACTTTTTGAGTTACATTAACAGTTAAAAATTTACAGCAAAGTACGTCGATTTTGACGTTAAATGGGTGGCTATGAATTCCACACATGTTGCGGCTGCGTCAAAGAGTAACTACATTTTGTGGCCTTATAAGACACCAAAAACAACGAGTGCATTCTGTAAGTGCTCCACGTCTCAGTTATGTGAAGTTATTTATGGTTTTTCTAGGGAAAAATCAGGCGTGCCATTTGTATCACACTGCCTATGATCCAACTGGTGCCACTTTAATAGTTAACGATTGTCCGATACCTACAGGAATGCAGAACTCATTTGATCCTATTTGTGCAATTGCTCTTTCGGAAAGGTATTTACTTATTGCCAAAGAGTCTGGTACTATCAAGCAATACGTTGTTCCTCATGTTGTGATTGTGAAAACATTTAATCTGACTACTCGTGCGCATAGGATGTTCATCAATTGTAATTCAACGTATGTTTGGATAAAGAACGTACTTATACTGAATTGTGCTGTTTTAGGCGGTTGTCTTTGATAGATATGACTGGCTTATTAACCGTGCTAGATATTTCTGAAGCTTCCTTTCACCATAGCGACTCGGAGAATACTCGTTTGGAACGCAAAGATGTTTGGGCGATGTGCTGGGCATCTGACAATCCTCAGCTTCTTGCAATTATGGAAAAGACAAGGATGTATGTGTTTAAAGGAATTTATCCCGAGGAACCTATATCAACATCGGGATATATATGCAGATTTGAAGTATTATGCGGGTTAGTTCCATATTAATGTAGCTGTACTATTGCAGAATTTGGAAATCCAAGCTGTAATGTTAGATGAAATCATTGACATACCTGACAAACCATCAAAGGACCACTTGTTCAAATTAGAAGTTAAAAGTTTGCGAGATACTCGCCAGCTATTAGAAAAAGTGGGCATTAAGGAAGCTTATCAGTTTATTGAAGACAATCCTCATCCTCGGCTGTGGTGAGTATACCACTATTCGTTCTAACTTGCCACTAACAGTTTGTTAGGAACTTACTGGGTGAAGCTGCATTGAAAGATTTGAATTTCAAAGTGGCAGAAGACGCCTTTATTCGATCTCAGGATTACAGTGGAATACAATTCGTAAAAAAACTACGTTTCACCATGAATAGCAATGTTAAGCGAGGTCTAGTGGCCGCCTACTTTAAAAATTTTGAAGAAGCAGAAAGGTTGTTTAACGAAAATGACAGGGTGTATGTATAATTTATAATTCTATCGTCTTTCAAAAGGTATTATTTTAGAGATTTAACGTTACATTTACGTAAAACATTGGGGGATTGGTTTCGCGTCATTCGTATTATAAAGTATGGATACTACTCTACTCCTGGATTACTTAAGAATGCCTACAATAAAGCGGGGGATTATTTTACGCATATTAACAATTGGTTAGAGGGATTTTTTAAAACATTGATACATTTTATTTGTATAGGTCTGCAGCTAAGGAGTACTATGAATTGGCAAAAAATAAGAAAAAAATGATCGAGACTTATTTTCAGTTGGAAGACTTTAAATCCTTAGCAAACATGGCGGAAACTCTAGAAGATTCGGAGCCTATGTTGGCAGATATGGCCAGGGGATTTGCTGTTGAAGGCGATTACCTAACGGCTATCAAAACCTACCTCAAAGTATAATAAAAATAATAAAATATCGGGTTACACACATGTAATTTTTAGATTCAAGATGTGAAATCCGCTCTTAAAGTTAGTGTCGAAAATCACCAATGGGAGCAAACTGTTCAAATTGCCCAAAGATATCGCATGAAGGAGGTGTCACAGATATTCATAAATTATTCGGATACTTTGATTAAGCAAAATAAGATTAATCGAGCAGTAGAGATTAATGTTTACGCCAAATATTGGCTAACTGCGGCAAAATGTGCAATAAAAGTAAGTGTGCCATTTAAACGATCAAAAAAGTTGTTGCCGTCGCCAATGTTAAGGTGTAACCTAGTAGACATGATTTGTTCTTCTCTTTTTATTGGTCTTTTTCTTGCAACCAATGTTATAATATTAATTTCTGTCATAATGATACTTCACTTGATTATCAATTCCGTCCAGTCTTCATTATTTTGACAAAATGAGTCACGTCAATTACCTTACTATCAACTTTAACAAATGAAGTTCAGGAAAATGGTTTCTTCCTTGACAGGATCCGCGCGTACTTAGATGTTGTATTCGGACCCTTTGTACTACCTCCTTGACTAGAGTCCTCCGACCCCTCAACATCACTCCAGCCATCTCACACATGTGCTAAACCTAAGGATGCTGGAAAAGGAAGCGGCTCTAATCATAGCCATGCCCGACCACGAACCCCCAACATGGATCGTCTCAGTTGGACTAGGGCGGGACATTCACAAAGTGTGTGGTGTGACCATAAAACACCAGTTTTGAGGCCAGTCGGGGTAACTCGTTGGCTTTCTCATTACTTTTCGTTTCAGCAGCTCAAGGGCTACTTGCTCTAGTGCATGGTGAATTGGTGACATTCGGAAACCAGTGGCCATGTGCCTGCAGGGTTGCCCTACTGTCAGATTCTGATAGTTTTGTTGTTTATGTTATGCAGAAGTCCTTTTCTTGCACTCTCATGTGGAGATCTAGCTGAGGCAGACTCAGAGGGCGCGCTCTAAGTTTTTCTCCAAGGTGGTGTTTGTAAAGGAGGATATCCATTACCTTGTGGTTGCGATAGCCCTTTTGGATGACTCCCTTGCAGTTAATTGCATGCATAATCGATGCGACAATTTGATTCGAGTGCGATGCATGAACGAATGAATCGACGCATCACGTTGGCGCACCGCACCATATACACTATGCGTTGATTTGTGCACCGTGCCTGAATCACGCATCAAATCGGCGCATCGACGAATTGTGTACCCTGGGTTTTAGGCGGCATCGACCACAATACTCATCATAACCACAACTTATAACACCCCAAACATGATTACAACCAGAGCTGGGCAGTATTCGATTTTGTAAATACTTTTTAGTATTCAAATCCTTTAAAGTATTCAAATACTTTGTAATTAAATATTTTTATGGAAGCAGTATTTGTATTTGTAACTCAAATACTTTCACAAATATTTAGTATTCGAATACTTCGCAAGGTATTTGAATACTTTGAGAAGTATTCGAATACTTCGCATAGTATTTGAATACTTAACCTTCCTTTTTTACCAAAAATCGACTGCACCAAAATTTCTCGGGAAAACACTTTTTCTTATTAATTTTGGTGCGTAGAATCCCAAACAATTCGTACTTTTTCGATCAGACTTCTCAATCAAAAGTTATAGACTAGAAACCAATTTCGAAAGAAAATTCAAAGGGCTGTAACTTTTGAACTAGTAGCCCAATCTTGGAACTGTTTTAAATTATGGATTCTACAGGCCACATTCTATAAGAAAATTTTTTTTCCGGGTCGATCTGAGACAATTTTTTTTTCGGGGCTCAAAAAAGGCAGTGTATAACCTTCCTTTTTTACCAAAAATCGACTGCACCAAAATTTCTCGGGAAAACACTTTTCTTATTAATTTTGGTGCGTAGAATCCAAAACAATTCGTACTTTTTCGATTAGACTTCTCAATCAAAAGTTATAGACTAGAAACCAATTTCGAAAGAAAATTCAAAGAGCTGTAACTTTTGAACTAGTAGCCCAATCTTGGAACTGTTTGAAATTATGGATTCTACAGGCCACATTCTATAAGAAAATTTTTTTCCGGGTCGATCTGAGACAATTTTTTTTTCGTGGCTCAAAAAAAGGCAGTGTATAACCTTCCTTTTTTACCAAAAATCGACTACACCAAAATTTCTCGGGAAAACATTTTTTCTTATTAATTTGGGTGCGTAGAATCCAAATCAATTCGTACTTTTTCGATCAGACTTCTCAATCAAAAGTTATAGACTAGAAACCAATTTCGAAGAAAAATTCAAAGGGCTGTAACTTTTGAACTAGTAGCCCAATCTTGGAACTGTTTGAAATTATGGATTCTACAGGCCACATTCTATAAGAAATTTTTTTGCCGGGTCGATCTGAGACCATTTTTTTTCGAGCCTCAAAAAAGGCAGTGTATAACCTTCCTTTTTTACCAAAAATCGACTGCACCAAAATTTCTCGGGAAAACACTTTTTCTTATTAATTTTGGTGTGTAGAATCCATAACAATTCGTACGTTTTCGATTTGACCTCTCAATAAAAAGTTATGGACAAAAAACAAATTTCGAAAAAAAATTCAAAGGGCTGTAACTTTTGATCTAGTAGCCCAATCTTCAAACTGTTTGAAATTATGGATTCTACGGGCCAAATTCTATAAGAAAATGTGTTTTCCCGGTCGATCTCAGACAATTTTTTTTCCGGCCTCAAAAGAAGGCAGTACTTTTAAGTTATTCAAATATTTGAGAACAATTTAAAAATGTTTAGGGAAAGTTTCCATTGTCACAAAATCAAATATAAAAATCCGATACAACTGAATACCGAACGATCCTGGAGTGAAACTTTTTGACTCGATAGTCTACGTAACTTAAAAACAATAGGGACCTTTCTTATATCCTTAAGACCATGTGTACCAATTTTCAAAGCAATCGCACGTTTCTAAACAAGTTATCATGCACACGGACAAACGGATGGTCAAAAATGGATCTGTTCCAAAATCGCTAGGATTAATTTGAGAAAGGCGTACGTATCATGTGCACGACGTACGATCGCTTTGAAAACTGGTACATGTATTCTTAAGGATATAACTGGTATAAGAAAGGTCCTGGTAGGTACCTCCTATATAATAATACGCTTTTACTCCCCTTAAGTTTGTATATAACAATAGAAATATAAAAAAAGGTTTCCCCATACAAAGTATAACTTGATTTTTTAAGTAGTATTAAGCCTTTTATCTAGTATACTATTTTAAATTTAAGAATTTGAATACTTTTTACTGTATTCGAATACTTTTCAAAGTAAGATAATGAAATACTTTTCAAAGTATTCGAATAATTTTTATAGTATTCGAATACCTTTGATAGTATTAGAATACTTTTTCTATATCTAAGCCGTCACAATTTAAAGAAATATATTTTAGATGGCTCGTAAGGAAGCAGAAATCAATCTCAATCAACCAATTAAAATTAAAAGAATGTATGTTTGTGCTGCTCATCTTGTGGAAAAATACAAGAAGGATCCAAACGAAGGTAAATAGTTTCAGTCCAATTCGTATTATATGAAAAATTTGTTTACAGAGGAACTAGTGGATACCATGGCTGATGTGAATTTAGTTGAAAATTGCTGGGAAGGTGCGGTTGCATTTCATTTATACATTTTGGCGCAACACCAGTTATACACTCGTCAAATCCACGATGCAGTTTGTACATTCAACAGATTACGAAAATATACTGCATATATACCTGCCGAAAAAATATACTCGATGCTTGCCTTGACTGCATATTTTGATGGATTATTAGGCGTTTCTTCTAACGCTTTTACACATTTAAATGCTTTACCAGAAGTAAATTTCAGAACTGCTGTCTTATCTTTATGACGGAGACATATTTTTCAGCTTCCAGAAAAGGAAAAAGCGGCATATAGAGACTTGGCACTAAAAATTTTCTCCGTCCACGTTCCGGATCATACAACTCAACATCGAAAACAAACAATGGACTGTTTCAACTGTCAAACGTCCATTAATGACTGGTAAATATTCACCGCATTTAGCCAACATTATGCGTAAAATCTGTTTTAGGGAAATCAGATGCTCTTACTGCGAAATACAATTTCCGTTTTGTATTGCGTCTGGTCGCTCAATTATATCAGAGGGCCTTAGGAATAAATTTTGTTCTACTTGCAATCACGTTATTATTGAAAAGTATTTAGGCTACAGGAGAATGTGTCCGCTTTGCCACAGTGCTTTATTCAAAAAGTAATTGCACATGCACATTTTCCGTGCCCTCCTCTTTATTCAATCAAAGATAGTACTACACTAGATAGACACGACTTGCACAGTGTACTCCAATCAGGTGGTGGTAACTTTTATCTCATGAAGGAAATAACGCCATAAGATTTATTACAAAATATTTGTGTGGCCCATAATGACGAATAATTTTTTATAGATATGAATGGTCAGGAAAGGGCACTAGCTCGTGTTTTAAAGCACTTAGTGATTAGGACACACTTTTGTGTAGCAATTTAAATCTTATAATGCGAATTTGAAAGGAATAATTTTGTTTGATTGTAAAATCATAGATATATTGAAGAAGAACAGTTGTTCATTTTAACAATTTGCACAAAGTGACTGTCCAAAGTAGATGCATTTATGCTATTTATTCAGACGACATTTGACGTGTATCAAAGGTTTGGAGTAAAATTTTGTACAGTTAAATTTGTCCGCAGAATAAGTTGACTCTATCTGCCGGAACTACATTTTTGATATACTGTTTATTCATTGCATTACATGCGTGATATTAGAACATTTAACAATGGTTGGTATTGCAATATGGCTGTACAAAAACGTATACTGAGACAGTTCTCTCTCTAGTCTCATTTAAATTAACAATATCGTGGACTAGTAAGGAGAAAGCATTTAGGCTGAAATCATACTTTCTGTCTACCTATACATAACTTGGGAAATCTCTGTAGCAAAAATCTGAAACCTCGCCCACTCAAAAATAAATTAATATAATAATGTACAAAAACCTCCTGTAAAGTCTTTCTGGAACTAAATTAACGGTTAACAACTATTCTGTATACATGTCTATCTAGTGTAACATTATCTTGGATACAGTTAAAACTCTCCCACTAGACAAACGATGGTAATCTACAAATTAGCAGCTAAAAACTGATTTCCACAATGGTTATAACTAGGGACAGGACTTCTGTACATTGCATATTTTTTTGTTCATTCTTTTTGGCATATTGACCCTAATATGCCAATTTGCAGGTGCATGGAAATGCATATTTTCGGAAATTTGGGTCATAGTTCCATTGTAGTATTAGGCGTTTACGATAATTGGAGCACTCCATAGCGGTATGTATCGAATGCGTTCGTTAATTAAAGTTTAAAGATCTATCCGAGTTCGGCAATTATACCGAATGTATCCAATACATGTATCAGATCCACAACTTACGGATCAGCTACATTAGTAGATACAACCCGCTACATCCAAAACATAACCTTAAAAAGTGTTTGGTTATTCCGGATTTCACGCAAATATGAACAATGAACCGAGTGCGTTTGGTTACCATACATCCACCGGGTGCATAACAGCTGATTACTGTACTTTACCACTCGTTATATACCGCTCCAATTATCGTAAACGCCTATTAAAATTGTCAAATTTACTTCATTTTGAAATTTTAAAATGAGGAAGTATTTTTCATTCTCTGGGATCTACTTACGAAGCCTGTTTTTTAAGAGCCGTTTGAAAATAAAAAAAACCAAAAGGAAATTTGTACAAATTAATTTTGTTTTCAGAATCTACATACTGCATATTGCTGCGGGTCTCTAATTATAAATCTATCGAGATGTTGTTTTATATTACCTACTTTTTAGGAACATACAAAATTTGTACCATAAGTCGTCTATAAATAATAAATCATTTAACAATGGTTGTGTTATTTATAGCTTGAAAAAAAGGTTTGAAACTGAGTTTTTTTGCTGTTGTAAAACCATTGTAACATACTTGGTGCACTTAGGCACACCAAAGGTCTATTGTGCCTACCCCCCTTTCTTTTGCAACAACATTATTATCATCACAATTAATTAGGTCTCCAACTAAACAAATAGTCCGACTGCCCAAAATAGCCGCATAACAAAAATCACATACTTCAACCGCCATAAAATAATGTTTGTGAATTTCATAAATAAATTACTAATCACAATTAGACTTGAATAACTTCAGCTTCGACTGAACGCGTCCCTGCTTTTATTCCATTCATAAGAGACAAGACTAATACAACCACAGATGAACAAAAACATTTATTCGCACCAATTAATGCGCTACACTATTAGACACAATTATATACCGGTTTTTAGAAGTACCCCAACTAACAAAGGGTTTGTAATAATTTACAGTAAGCTCAGCAAAATCTGTTTACGTAAATAACTGCATAAACCCTCCATAAAATTTACTAGATGTAGCTTAATGAGGTGCAGTGTTAAGACAAGTTGTTAACTGTAGTACCTAAACTGATCACAATTTACATGTTTTTAGTAATATTACAAGAATGTTTGTAAACAATAATTCACATTGTAGAAAATAAATCTTTGCAAAAGTTACATGTTCAAATCTATAAACATTTAATTTAATCTGGAAGATATGTTTTTAATTGTACTTAAGTACAGTATGTTTACCTCTGATACATCAGGCAATTTTTACGAGCATTACTTCCCAATCAGCTACATACATTGTTATTAACGTCATGAATGTGGTACAAAGAAAAAGGCCAATAGACACAAATTAAAAACGGGAAGTACAAGTATAAAGTACAACAGGTTTTTGATTGTATGTGGCAAGTTTCATTTTCAATCGCAAAAATAGAATTTAAAAACTTAACAGAAATGCAACGAAACTACTATAAAATTTCCGTTAAGCACCTTCTCTTTATACACATATATACAAGTTTTCATCACAAAATAAAAAGATTTATATAGTTAAATAAAAGAGGTAGGCATTACCATATGATACATTCATAATCCAGATTGGCAAATATTGACTTCAAGTAAACATTGGAGGATGAAGGGCAAGATGGCAGTGAAAAAAATTGTTATAGAAGACCTCTGTGATATAATTTAAACTCCACAATAACTGTGAAAGCATTCATTTTCCATTGCCATAAGTTGGCCACAGACCAAATCATGCTTAATAGTGAGTCAACATGGGCTAAGATTTAGAGGAATATTCCGTATTTCCTAAATCAAATAACACAATACATATAAAAAGTTCGAATGATTTTCAAAATAGGCGCTCTTTAAATACGTAATTTATGCTTCTTTTCACTAGCTTTCAAGAAAATACTGTCGATACTATCAAACACATCAAAAGCGGCTTTCGATGCATCGACACGATGATGCAAACCACGCAATTGATAGTAATCCACCAGTGGTTGAGTCTGTTTATGGTACGCCTCCAGTCTCTTCTTCAACGCTTCCGGATTATCGTCCGATCTCCTTATTAAAGGCTCGCCAGTAATGTCGTCAGTCATAGATTTTTTTGGCGGAGCAAAGTCCTCATGATACGAACGGCCGCTCGCCGGGTGAATTAGACGCCCAGTAATACGACGTACCAAAAGGTTATCGTTAATACCGAATTCTATCACCGCATCTAGGTTTGTACGCCTTTTTTCAAGTAATTCGTCCAGCTAAAACAAAATTGATGCCTTTACTTGTAGGTTTTGTAGAGCAAAGCAAACAAAATCAATCCACTTTTAGTGAAACAGAAATTACACCACATCCACAAAGCCAACAAAAACTGCATGCACTTGACGGTACACCTATACTCACCCACTTATAACAATCAGATCGACAGAGAGTACATACTAAGTGACAAGGACCACGCAAACCCACCGACATTAAGTACATAGCACAAATAAAGTAGAGATGATCTAAGTGTCTAGTTTTGTTCAAAAGATTTAGTTGATTACTTGCAACAGTACGAGCCTTACCTTTTCTGCTTGGACGACCGTACGTGGAAATCCATCCAAAAGAAAGCCATTTGCACACTCGGGTTTGTCTAAATTACTGTCTATCATATTCACAACCAATTCATCACTGACCAGCTTGCCCTCGTCCATTACCTTCTTCAGTTTACTACCCAACACAGATCCTGACTGGATCTCGGCCCGCAACATGTCACCAGTCGAGAGGTGGCAAACGCAAAATTTTTTTTTCAATAAGGGTGCCTATAAAAAATGTTACATAAAACTTACATAAGCGATAAGTAAGTTACCTGAGTGCCCTTGCCCGAACCTGGAGGGCCCAACAGTACGGCATTGACACCATTAACCTCTTCCTGGTGTGGTGCTTCCTTTGGTAAAGCGGCAGTCGGCATGGTTTCAAATAACGGTGGAATAAACGAGCGTTAATTCAAAAAAGGAAAAATAATTGTGATATAAGTCGACCTTTGCTTCGACACGAGATCGGGCAAGAAGAAATTACGCAGGCCACCCCAAAAAAACTTTGAAAAGGTGTTGCATACTGCGCCATCTGTCTCGACGTCGTCTCGAACTGACTGTCAGTGGCGTACGAAAGTTTTTCGTCATAATTCCTAATGAGCAATGTAATGAGATATCTGTAGAGTGTAGAAGGGAATGCTAAAGACGGAAAGTGTAAGATGTGCACCAGACATTTTCGTCGGTGGCGCCAAAACATCAAATGCGGATGTGTCGAGAACTGAATGATGGAATTAAGATAGTGTACTCACATCGAGAAAGTCAAAAGGTCTGGACGAGACACATGACATGGATGGATATTTCGCAAATGAAGTGTCACCGTTCCTTAAAAAATACGCTACCAGCCGCAATGCATATGTCGCTCCAAAATTGTTTTCCCAAACTGAGCGTATATATAGGGTTCGGTTTACAATACATTTCTGTATCCATCATACTGGAGGATCCATTATGTGCTGTACTTCCAACCCGCCCGTCGGTGTGCACAATAATTTTTCCACGAAAAATTGTATGGTGGCCTGCCATGCGCAGGGTAACCTACAGGAAGCAGCTAGGAAAGGTCCAGCGACTCGCCTGTCTGGGAGTCACTGGAGCTCTAAAAACCACGCCAACCTTGGCCATGGAGGCACTTCTGGGCCTAGAGCCTTTACACTTAGCTGTGGAGGCAGAGGCTCGGAAAGCTTCCATACGGCTAAACGATTGGGATGAATGGAAGGATCGAGGCAGCCTTGGGCACGGGCGGATCTGGGAGGAAACCCTCAGGACCGATCCCCTCCTCGCAAGGAGGGACGTGATCCGGGCTATCTTGCTAAGACCAAAGCGTTATAAAGTCATTCTCCCGGATAGGGAGCAGTGGCTGAACTCGGATTGCCCGTTCCTCAAACCTGAGGGGCTCGTGTGGTTTACAGACGGGTCCCAAACAGAAAGGGGAACGGGCATGGGTATATATGGTGATCGACCGAGAGCCAGCGTCAGCGTCTCCCTTGGTCAGCATAGCACCGTGTTTCAGGCAGAGATGTTAGCCATCATGACCTGTGCACAGGAAAACCTCCGTAGAGGTTACCGTAACAAGCATATATACATATGCAGTGATAGTCAGGCGGCGTTGAGGGCCCTGTCGGTAGACAGGTTCCGATCAGCTACGGCGCTTGATTGCAGGCGAACCCTAGATAGATTAGGCGAGTCTAATAGGGTAAGCTTGATTTGGGTGCCAGCGCACTGCGGAATAGGGGGCAACGAAAGGGCGGACGAGTTGGCTCGCGAAGGCAGTGGTGGAGTCTTCGTCGGGCCCGAGCCTACCCTAGGGATTGCTCCCTCCGTTAGTTAGGGCCAGGATTAAAGATTGGTTGACCAGTCAATTCCAGGCTCAGTGGCAACTAACCGGACTCCGGCAGTCCAAGGCCTTTCTAACAGGGCCCCTTGGCAAATCGGAGTCTTCTGAGCTTCTAAAACTGAATAGAAGCCAGATTAGGAAGATCACCGGTGTCCTTACGGGACACTGGATGGTCAACTATCACCTGCATAACATTGGGCTCGCGGAGGAGTCCACGTGCAGGTTCTGTGGCGAGGCAGATGAAACTACCGAGCATGTGGTCTGTCACTGTGATGCTTTGATCAGGGACAGATATCAACTCCTTGGAGATAGATATCTGGAACCGAGGAGGGTGAAGCAACTTAGGCTAAACAGGGTCCTATCCTTCATTGAGAGGAACGGGCTCTGAACTCAGTTGCGAAGAAAGGGGGTAGGCACAATGGGCCTCTGATGTGCCTAAGTGCTGCCCGGTCGGGCTCCTCTGCGAATAGGAATAGGAATAGGAGCGTATATATAGGGTTCGGTTTACAATACATTTCTGTATCCAGCATACTGAAGGATCCATTATGTGCTGTACTTCCAACCCGCCCGTCGGTGTGCACAATAATTTTTCCACGAAAAATTCGCTTTCAGAAGATTCCGCCACGGAATATATTACACTTGTCCAAGAAACGCTCGTTGTAATAATATTGCCTTCTATTCGCAAAAAATCTTCAATTGCTCGCCCCGACATGTCTGCCCAAGGAATATTCGCTTTTAGGAAATTCATTTATACAAATTCGCTCCGTCTTCTTAGATTCCACTTCGTAGGGGCTCCGTGTTTAAAAAAGTTTAAGAAACGCTGAATACAAAAACAACGAACTAAATATCTTGAAAACTGTACGAGTGTTGAGTATAGGTATGACCAATGAATAAAGGTATGACCTAGGACGGACGGACGAAGAAAGTGGTCATAGTCAGGGGCGGACTGGCCCGGGGGGGCGGGTGGCGATTTCCACCTGGCCTGTAGGTCATATTGGCCCGTTGGAAATTTATAAGTATGTGCTGTATTTAGTTTCTTGCGCTATTAATAAATTACTAACAGATTTCTCTCATTGGGGCTGATGTTAGGTTGTTCATTAAAAAATTCTGTTTTTATTTAAGTGTTTTACAATGAATTTATCATTTTTTCTCGTATTTTGAAAGTGCTGAAACAATTATAGGCGACTCGCCACGTTTGTCTATTTTGTTACTTTTAATTATCAGCTGCAATTAAAAAAAAACTATATTCTAATTGAGGAATACTTTAAAATGTAGCAAAAAATGTTTTTGAGAGCCCCCCCCCCCCATCTTCATTACACTAATACTTTAATGGCCCGTAACCTAAGCAATTCCACCTGGCCCGTAAGTACCCAGTCCGCTCCTGGTCATAGTAGCGCTATTTCTACTCCGTTGTCCGTCCGTCTGCCGGCCAGCCTCGTTCTCTATCCAAAATCCATTTTATTTAACGTTAAGCTTTTATATCTTTTAGGTACACTACATTTCCAATACGGCCAAATAAGGGAAGGTGCAAAATTTTTGCGAAATTGCAAAACGGTCCATTGACAGTGGTGACATTACTTGGGTTAATACGACCCTGGAGAGTTTTGTGAAAAAGTACATTAAAAGCATTTAAAAATCCCAAACCCTGGTTAGTGGTTAGTGCCATCATTGAATAATAATTTTTACTCAATGGTATCAACCAGCATGGCAAGCAAGAATCTCAACAGAATCTATTTTGTGTGATTCATTTTTGATTATGTCCCTCAAGATTTTTTCATACGTCTTAAAAACCCTGCATAGGAAAAAAATTAATCCAAAGGCTGTGATTGGTCCTCACTTAGTTTCCGCTAAAATGCACCAATCGGATTATGAGTTAGTCGGATGTTTTAGTCTCAAAGATTTTTCTTTCGAAATATCGATCAAAGCGTGCTGGTCAATATAAGTGAACTGTGCGTGAGTGCGCCATTATGTGTAGCTCATAAAATAACTAAGTAATTTCCATAATTTTCAGTAATTATCATCTAATTCTATAAGAAAATCGATTATTAACCAGTGGAATAACAATCATATTACAAAAGAGCATAAATAATAACGCGATTGGGAAAACGCCAGCGAAGGAAAGCGGGACCAGGATCGGTTTGGTTTCGTCCATTTGCATTTTTCAAGGCGGGCTAAATTGCTTGCATTGGGGTCGATTCCGCTTGCATAATTGTACAATTAAAAACGGATTAATGCCTACTTTGTAATAATTTAATGTGTTTGTTGTCGGTAAAAGATCGCGGGTGATTTGTTTTGAATTTACTCGTTTAGGGCGCATGCTTCACGTGTACATCAAGATAGGCCATGCGCACGCAAAACTAAAAAGTATGTAAATATGGCGTCACGCGAAGGGCACAACAAACTTCCACAAAATTCTAATCTTATCGACGACCTCCAAATAGACATCATAAATGTGTATAAGGTGAAAATTAATCATTAAGTGCTTCTGTTTTAATAATTTGGTTTTTTCGCATGATTGTGTTACAGTGTTTAATTTCGTTTGGCATGGCGGCCATATTCTAAATGTGAATTATTTGGATTAAAAGGCGCAGAGGGATACACGATTTATCGTTTTGCGTTTTAGAAGTTTGTTAAAAGTACCTGTTATACGTAGAGACTGAGTGCCCTAAATTGGGAAATAAGCATGTAGTGAAGTGTTATCTCCTGCGTAGGCGTACTCTTCAGTAATTTCTAATTGCCCACAATTTTTTGATTCGCCTGCACGATGAATACTGTTCCCTATGAAGACTCTGAAGTTTACTTTTCATTGAGAGCACGTATCATTTTATTTTTTTATTTTAAATTAAGATTAGAAGGGTGATTTCAGGGGGAATTTTGATTATGGCCACTTGTAGGTTACATGTTTACATCTGACTCTTTTTGATATCACTCTTTCTACAGTAAATATAGTTTTTAATCTGCCTTTATTTGACTTTAAACATAGATTAAGTAGAAACTGAGGATGTTTTAAGATCATTGTTAAAATTACCAGCTTTTTATTGGAATGATTCATGTGTATCATTACCTTAAAAATGTCAGTTGCTTGCTCTCGTTGTAGTTAGCGTGTCTTGCATATATCTAAAATCAGCTTTTTATTTCAGAGCTTAGAGCATGTACTGAATAATCGGCATGAGACCTTTGAACATAAGGTTGAATCGCTTGTGGAGGTTTGGAAACAAGTTCAGGATTGTCGATTAACGGAGCACAAGCAATACGTTATGCATTTAATGGACTGGTTAAAATTACACACTTTGAATATCGTGTTAACTGGGGAATGGAAAAAACACAAAGGTGCTAAATAAGCCTTATACATTCTCAATTTAATCAAGTTCATTTTTTAGAAATTTACGAGGAACGACTTCTAAAGGAAGTGAACCACTGCGAGATTATATTGCGGCATTCGAACAATATATTCTCGCTCCGATGTAAGAAGCTCGCAGAAATTATAAAGGATCCTTGGGGCAACCCCATTCTTAATCGTTTGCTTAACACTCCAGATCAACAAATCGGACCCGAAGGTAGGAAACTACTCCAATTGATGCGTAGAAATGTAATTTACATATTTTGTTTTTTAATGGAGCAATCAAATGGGCAAACACAAAACTGATGCTTACTGATCCCCATGGTTTACCCAAACTCCCGGAAAAAATTATTTTTTACCTTGTTCATTATGTCTAGTAGGACAATGTATTCCTGAATTATGTAGGGTTCCCAGAGGCCTTTGGGTAAGCTTAACCATAAACGATACAATTTAAGAATTAACATTTTTTAGCGAGGACATTTATCTTTTGTGATCACCTCACAATTTAATAGGAGTTCATTTATTATACTACCACACAGCTCTGCATAGTTTCAATTATTTCAATTAAATTAATAAGAAAATAAGGTTACTTACTAAAAAAATTGTTTAAATTACCCTGTGTGAAACTATTTCTCTTTATTATGCAGTGTTTTCCTTTCTCTCAGTTGTGCTTATAATTAATAGATATGCTTACTTTTTTTTTTCATCGTTTCTTATTACGTGTTTCATAAGGATATACCTTACATTTCACTTTGTAGAATTTGGTACGTGGTAAATGCGCTAAAAGGCTTCAAATTAATTTTTAAGTGTAAGTGAGAATATTGGTAACACTAAAAAAGGAAGCAGATAGCTTTCTGGGTACTAGTTTCACGTCAGTCCAAAATTAATTACATCAAGCGTGAAGTGTTTACTACTTGAATATCACAATTTCCTACCATTCGGTGTAATTATTACCGTAAATTAGAACAAGTTTGATCTGTGTGAGTGGGTGGGTGTTTACGTTCGATGCTTCCCTCTAATAAGTGATTATTAGTCTGTTGAACAATAAACATTACTGATAACATTTCTTATGTGTGCATCCACCAAGCTTCTCTACCGTTTTTAGAAGAAACGATGATAGGCTGATGGGCCTGTAATCCTTCGCCATGTTATATTTGGCAGGATCCGGCTTAGGCACACAACTCTTACCTTGCTCCAGCTTTCGGGGACATACCTTAAGGCCAGGGAGGGCGTCGCTTACTAATGCAGCAGCCTCTTCCACCTGCCCTGCGTTCCGACAGAGTAAAGGTCATATAGCAGTCCCAGTCAGTAGATTGGGATTCCGAAACCTACAGAGCCCGCAGTGGGATGCCAGGTTTAGTTGGAAAAGAATGTGCCTGTGATCCAAAAGGAATGGCTCATCAATGGGGGTTAGTGAAAAGGAGCCAAACATCAGATAGATGACCTCGGGCCTCCATCCCATTTGAAACATTCAAATCAGTTGTTTGCAAGGAGGTGGTCGCTCCACGAGATATTTCCGTGCTGCCCCATGCAACATGATGTGCATGTGCATCATAGCCAACCACAAAAGGGGGCCCACCTATTCTATTAACTCTATCGACATAAATGCAAGTCCTAGGGTTCAGTTGGCTGTCCCTCTTATAATAAAGGGACTCCACCTGAACCTGCTTAAGCTAAGAAATACGCATATCTTCGTAAAATACCTGCATCTGCTTATCAGAACCACATATGCATTAATTAAATTTCGCCTAGCAATAATACTTCTTATTGCAAATAACCAGATAAAACGTTTTATTTATCACCCAAAATTCGACCACATGTGTATGTTCACCATTTGAGATTCACCGCAAGGGTTTTTTTAAATCCTACCTACACACAAAATATAAATACATTTCAAGAATATGAAGGTTCCGATTCTGTATGGTCTTTTTCCTATTTAAGTTACAAAAAATTAATTATTTAACACTCTTAAAGGCACGGTAAGGAAATCCCAGGAGAAACCATATGGGTGGAACACTTGTATTTTTTTAAAGAAAAGCAGAAATTGCACCATTTACATAATCCGATGGCAAACAAATTTGGTATTAAAGATTAATTGACTGTGAGCGAATGCGATGCCGGCTTACGTTGTGCTGTTTATATCCACTTCTCTAATTTTAGGATCAACATGTTCAAATTCATACTAACCTTACAACATGCGCTGTCTACAGGCCCGTAGCCAGAATGAAGTAGCAGGGGTGCCCGATATTTTTCTAGCTGGGGCTTAAGAAGTTTTTGATACAGACTTCCACTGTAATTCTTGTAAAGGAACCATCAACCGTAATTTCCAGTGGGGACAAAACCACGTTCTAGATGGGGCTCAGCCCCACCTCGCTACGGACCTGGCTGTCCGTACTTCAATCAATTTCCACTTTTGAAATTGTGTCACAATTCAAAAATTCTTCCTGGAATGACTTAGTCCCTCTCAATTTTGACTCGTCAACTCGTTCTTGCAGCTTTCAACGAAAAATGCCCCCCGGCTTGACCTGATGCAAAATATTACTATCCTGCTTTCAAAGGTGGTATGCTAATCGGCAGCGTCTGCGACAACCCCCCACTATCTTCAACTAACTATAATGGCTACTAATCTGTTCTACCAATAGAATTCATTTCTTTTTGCCAACAGAATTGGAAGTACTCCCCAGTAATTTCGGTTTATCTCGCGACTTCCTGACCATTAGTCCACAAATTCACACAACAAAATGTTGAAGAAACTTGCCCTATTACAACCTCTTTATATTTTACCTAACCAAATCTTAAACTACAGCTGGGAGTATGTTTGGAATAGTTTCCATATTGGATAAACCCATAAAGCGCGTTTAAAAAAGCGGCAGAACACGTCGCTGTGACCTCACGGTGTCATTGGATTTGACTCATTTTCAATTGGCTTATTACTTGTGGCATATAGGTCAACTGTGCAAAGTTTGAGCCAAATCGGTCCAAGCGTTTGATAGTTATCGTGTTCACGGACAGACGGACACCATCGACTCCCCTGTAAAGCTTCCATCGCTTTGCTCTGCCCCTTAATAACACTAAATTAGGACCGCTATAGAATAGAAACAATGTAATGTTGTACAGATATAACTATTTAATCTATATGTATAAAAATACCGGTTATTAAGTGTTAGGTTATCTATATAATACCTAGATAAATAAATATTGATTATATAATCTAGATAATACATAATATAATCAACAAACATTCTAGATGTTTTCTCAAGATTACATAATTATATGGAGTACAAAAACATTTCTATTTAATAATAATTTTTAAAAAGTGAAAGTACTCAATCCGGTCCGTTTTGGGTGGTAATAAAGTTGACAAGAGCTGAGGTTGATAATGTTGGAAGGGAATTGTTGTTAAAACCAGGGGTCGTTTGTGCCCATTTCAGCACAAAACATTTTTCCCTATCTAGCTTAATGTGCAATACTTTAAACATGTTTATCAGTTAAAGTTAGATGTTCGTGTAAACAGTAACGCATTTGTGGTTAAAAACTGAATGGTAAAGAGGACTAGAAAAACTGGAAGAACTATAGTCAACGTTGTCAATAATAATAATAATATTTAATAATATTTTATTGTGTGTTGTGTTTATACACTTAACTCGTCAACAAAGATAGGTACATAAACAATAAAACAATAAAACGGACGTATAGTTACAATCACATTGTGTATATGAACGGAGAAGACTTACAATAAGTAACAAACTCGTCGAACGAATAAAAAGCATTACTTAATAGAATTTGTTTAATTTTTAATTTGAATGTAGAGAAAGGTAATGATTGTATATTAGCTGGGAGACAATTAAACAAAAATTGGGACTGATATCGTATACCAAAGTGAGATATTGCTAATCTGCAAAGGTCAGTGCGAATATTGCCCTTGAGTCTAGTGTTATGAACTTTTACTGTTGTACATTAGTAGACATATTTTGCTTAGCGTAACACACTGCAGAAAGGATATAAATACAGGGAAGAGTTAAAATTCTTAGGTCAATAAATGCCTTACGACACTCGTCCCTATAACCAAGACAAGATATGACCCGAATAGCTCTACGTTGGAGTTTAAAAATGCAATGCCAATGGGAGCTATGACCCCATGCTAGTATGGCATATGACATAATACTGTGGGCATAGGCAAAATAGGCACTTGTAGTAATATTAATGGAGGTATTATAACGCAATCTAGTAAGTAAAAATATTGATTTATTTAATTTTTTACTTACACTATTGCAGTGATATTTGAAATTCAATTTTGAATCAATGTTGCACCCCAAAAAAGAGATTGACTGGCAACTAATTTCAATAACACCTTTCTTTAAGGACAGAGGCATAATAGTAGTTTTGGATGCATTTAATTTTAATTTGTTGTCCGTGCACCACTCCGAGACAGCAGCAACGCCTTCCTTTATAGTTGAATACGCAGCGTCAAGCACTTGATCAGTAGATATCAGTGTGGCATCATCGGCATACAATATGCATTTCACCTTTAATGACAAAGATGCAGGTAGGTCATTTATATAAATTAAAAATAACAATGGGCCAAGAATGGACCCTTGGGGTACACCATGCATAATCGGTAATTTCCCGGAAATGACATTATTAAAGATGACACATTGATATCTATTGCTCAGATATGAAGCAAGTAGTGATCGACTGACGCTGCTGAAGTTGTAAACCTCTTCAAGCTTGCGTATTAGAATGTCATGTGACACACAATCGAAAGCTTTGGAGAGGTCCACAAAAGCAGCAACTGTATGCTGTCTGGTCTCGAAGCAGTTTAGAACACTGATAGTAAAAGAAGTGATTGCATCGGAAGTAGACATTCCTTTTCTAAATCCATACTGATGGCGATAGAAAATATTGTTAAATTCGAAAAAGTGTACTATTTGCTTATAGAGCACCTTTTCAATTATTTTACTAAAAATGGGGAGGTTGGAAATTGGTCTGTAACTACCAGTGTCATTACTATCTAGCCCTTTCTTTAATTGGGGTATGACTAACGCTAATTTCAAAATATCTACTCCTGTCGCAATGATCAGGTTTGTCAATTTAGTGAGAGGTTCCACAAAGGCACTTATGTTATGTTTAATCAATGTTAAGCTTAAACCGAATATGTCTCTAGAGTTACTATTTCGTAAATTTTTTATCGCGTCGCGAATGTCAATCTGAGATACGCTTTTGAATTCAAAGAGATAAGTGTTTTGATAGGATCTACAATAAAGGCCGCTTTACATACTGCAATTCTTTGTGCAATACAGTTGCAGCAAGTTTACTTGCAAAAATACTGTACATGCAATAATTATTGCACTTTGGTTTTACACGCGGCAATTTTCTTTTTGCAATAGTTTGTTACCAACATTCGCATTTAAAATTGAACTAAAAGCTTTATTCTATTCAAAATTCATCAGGTGTTGTTATAATTCTGAATGCGTTTTGAGTAAAAATGAATAGACACTTTAATCGAAAAAAGGCAGTCGCAGCTTCAATTTGTGTAGTAATAGTAGTAATAATAACAAAGTCTAGTTTCAACGTTTGGGAATTCTAGAACCTGGCGTTGTCAATACTTTCCCCCAAAATATCACGTGCAAGTGCAATAAAAATCATATATATAAGAGAAGATAAAAATCGCGCGCGACCGCTAAATTGCCAAAATGAATCAGCTGTTTCTCAAACGCGCATGCTTCTGGGCAAGTTTTATTGCGTATTGCATGGTCTTGCATGAAGAATTGCAGTATGTAAAGCGGCCTTAAGTAACAGGATCATTGACACTGTCAGGCAGACTAGCTAATATTTCATCAACGTTCCTACTAAAGAAACGATTGAAATCAGTACAAGATAATATTGTACGTGGTACACTTGGGCATTTATTATAGGTATTGATGATTGTCCACATAGCTTTGAGGGAATTTCCCGACTTTGTAATAAAGTCGTCATTTGCCAATTAATTATACTGCGGTTTAGCCCCACGTTGGGCGCCAAAATTATACCCTATATCACTCCACGTTGTGGCAAAATTAAAATGTCACCCAGAAGTATTTATATTATAGTGCTCCTTTAAGCGGAACAATTCACTGACTGAAAATTTCACTCGGAAATCTTGTAGTCAGGCAATCGGATACAGTCACCTGTTGTTTTTTTTTTCGTAATAAATGTATCTTGTATTCAGGGAATGTCTTCAATTATTTCAGAAATGGATTTCTTTGGGATGGAGACGGGATATTTAATTTCCACACGACTTAGAAAACTGTGTGAATCGCACTGTGAAGATCTGGCGTTAAATTTAGTTACCGCGTTTATGCGATTCCACGAGATGGCGGAGCAGCAGAATTATACAATCAACGCGACAGACGATCAAAAACGTTTCATACTTGACGTTTATATCGCACTGCTGTATAAATATAAAAGAACCCGACTCATTGTATCTACGGTTAGTACTTACTGCGTGGTTTTTACAAATTAAATTATTGGTTCAATTTTGCAGCTCAAATCCCTATCGTTAAGTGAAGGTTTGGAATTATTGAAACGGTTTGCCCATAAAAGGGTAAACATATCCAAAATATGGAGGCAGAGTGGTCGCATTGCTGCTCTAGCGGCAAATGTATATATGACAGCAGCTGTAATGAAGGTACCCGACGAGAGCGCTCATATCCTTGAAGGGTTGTTAGTTACGTGGCTGGATATGCCCGAGATCGTTGAGAATCTGCCTAGTGTGACCAACACCGTTCGACGAGTCATGCAGGCTGCAGATTCTGCAATCCATATGTATACCTTATGCAATGCATTTTATACAAGGGTAAGTATCTGTTAACCAAATGTAACCCCGCCTTATTAATTTTGTTTAGTTTGGTGCGCGGATGAGAACGTTTGTTATTGAACTGTACATTATGGCTTTAACAACTGATATCAACGTCTTGCAAAGACAGAAAGAGGAGAAAAATACAGCAGCCGAGAGTGAAAGCAGTGAGAGATTGTCTTGTGGGTTTTTAAAACTTGCGGACGTCATTGATCACAATATAAGACTGTGCCGCGAATCCGTTTTAACTGCGTTTAGTTTGAACCCGTCCCAAGAAATATTGGACCGTATAGTGTCTTTAGCAAATGCTACAGGCTATGAAGTTGTTACTCCTGTTCATTTGTGGAAGTGTGATCATCCGCCGAGCGATTCCTCCGACGAAGTGTCCTATAAGTGTTCTTTGTGTGGTGATTATAAATGCCATATAGAGCTGCAGTCATCCTTGAAGTCCAACACTGCTCTTAGTGATGCTGTTCAGGCAGAAACAGATCTGAGCTGCCATTTGCGGGACGATTTGGTGGTCGTCTTGTCAAGTCCACGTTACCATTTTTTGAATTGGTTGGGAACCTGGAAGAATCTCTACCAATTATGCGTGATGTATTTGGCCGATCCTGACAAAGTAAAAAATATTATCACCGATTTAAAATTCGTAGACATAGATTACTCACGATTTCTCGGTATAAAACGGGAACCAGAAGATGAAAATGCTAATGGCATCGAACGCGGTTATGAGCATTATCTAGAAGAAAGTTATCCAGAGGCTGCCGAAACGGACAATGAAAGTTTTTCACAAGAACTATCTCCCAGTCATCTCGGGAATGAAAATTTTGAAGCAATTTCACCACAGTCATCTAGATCGGATCCGGAAGTACTTAAATCTTTGAGACTCTTCCGACCTAATTTGAAGCGCCCGAAGAATAATTACCACGAGTACATGCCACCATCGAAAGTGTTTATACAGAATCAATCTGAGTACGATCCTTTTGCAATATACGCACAAAATCTATCCCAACCATCAACCTCTAATGCCTTCGCGCAACCATCACAATTTCTGACTGCAGAGCAGTTGCAGACTAGGCAGATGTACGAATATTTCAGTAAAGATCCCAAGATAAATCGAACCTTACAACTACAAGCACTTCTGACTGCTAACTATGCTCGAAATGCCGAAAGAGATGGAGTCTTAAATTTGTCAACTAAAGACCACGCACCGATAGATTTAAGCAAACAAGCCGAGATGTATAACTATTATTTAATGAACAGATCTGTAACAGCGGCCCATAAGAGATCCACATCGGATTCAATTCCTGGCACTAGCGGCAACATTTACCACCATAACAGAGAGACATCAAGTTCCAGCTCTGAAAATTCTCCTGTAAAAAGGAGACTCCCCAAACACAGTAACGCAGGCGGAAGTACATCAAATAGCCAATCATCGTCCTCCGGTATCTTACATGCAAATTCTGCACGAAGATATAAACAGGGATATTCGAGGAAAAAAGAGAAGGAGTCAAATTACGACTCCGATCCATCATTTTATGAACAAGTGATATCGCACGTGAGGAACGACGTTTCCCAATTAGCAAAATTGGATTCCTCTTCTGAGGACATTTTCTCGGGAACCGATTCCCATCAGGATGTGCAAAAGGATTCCCTACTCTTGGCCCTTGAAGAGCGAAGGAAGTTGGAACTAATGAATTTACTATGGAACCCTCCCGACTCGATACAGCATCCGGTGATTTCTAATTTTCATAAAATAATGTGCGACGCATTGCTGGGTAAATTTGATCCGGGTCAAGGAGATTCATTATATAGGCAACCATATTCCGGTGATAGTCTTTCCCAATTAGCGACATTGAATCGTTATCAAAATGATTTTGCAAAACTGATTGATAGTCGTAAGAAACAGATTGCGGGACTTTCTGCCACATTAAACAATGCAAATAATTCTGGAACAATTTTGATAGCATCTAGTCCTGAGACCTTATGCCCGGATGAACACGCTTTGAAAATTAAGTCTTGGAAACGAGATTATTTTGTGTATGGCAGACCATTTGAGCCTTCCCTTACACATTTTGAAGAAGCATCAATTGAAGAAAGAATGTGGACGTACAGAGAGTTTTCGAGATCTTATCGCCAATCGGATCGGAATAGCAATAGGAGAAAAGGTTCCCGAAGTAGTGACGAACCGATAGTAATTAGCTCTCAGAGCTCCATTTCTAGTCAGGGGCATGGACGAAGTCGCCATAAGAAGAAAGGTGATAGACAAACACAAGTACTATCCAAGACACCAAGTAGAAAGTCTGATGTTAGCCAATCAACAAGTAGTTCTCAAAGTACCAATTTTGGGGACGGTAAAAGTACCTCATATAACTCGCCATCTAGACTCTTTGATATCAGTAATCACACTCCCAACAATTCAGAGACTGAAAATTTATTGGAGGAGTACCATGAGGGGAGAAGTGGGGAGAGTGACTTGGCTTCTCAGTTCTCAACAGAAAATGAACATTATCTGGGGATCAATGTAAAAGAGCGAACTCCAATTTGGACAGCATGGAGCAGTTCCGATGCACTGAGTTCCAGTTCAAAGGAGCAATCTGAAATTTATCCATTGAATAGGAAAGACGAAACGTGGCCAACGACGGCTAGCATCAATTCAGATGACCACTTACTACCTCCGATAGCGGATAGTGCGGACAAAACATCACCACTGAATGCAATTATTAACACTATTATTACAAACAGCCTTAGTTCAAACGAGCCAGTAGACTGTGATAAGTGGTCACCCGAAGGAAATGAACGAAATACAACTGTAAACAGCGATAAGGGGTCATCCGAGTCAAACAAACAAAGTACAAGTCAGACAACCGGCAGTGGTGGGCAATCCGGGTCACAAGGTAGCGGACAATCGGTCAGCAAGGTGTATGATGGATCAGGGAGTATTCAACATAGTAGTACAACTACCAGCGACTGGGAACCTGGATCTCAAGATTCTAAACAAAACACGACAACTTCGACTGATACAGATAAGAGGACAAGTGGATCTCAGGAGACTGTGGAATCTCGGTCGACAACGGATGTCAGCAGTATTTCGATACCTGAATCAACGGGAAGCGAGACAAGAAAGACCACAACAGGAAGCAAGACAAGAAAGATCACAACGGGAAGCGAGACAAGTATGACCTCAACAACAGAGAGTGAGATAAATAAATCGACATCTGGATCACAGAGTAGTCGAGGGGGTAGTAGTGTAACTGCCAATAGTGAGTGCATGTATAGATTTCAACAGTGCAAGACCATTACGACCGATAGCGATAAATCAGAAGGGAGCGAGATAAATGAAACGATGAATACATCACAGGATAGCCAACAACATAATATGACTGTCCATAGTGAGTGGATTCCCGGATCTCAGGATAGTGTTGGGAGCAAGACAACTACGAGTGATAGTGATAAATGGTCAAGAGGATCAGAAGAGAGTGGGGAATCAAAAACCACAACGAGCGTCAGCGGTGAGTGGACGGCTAGCTCAGAGGGAAGTGAAGTGAGTAAAACAACGATCGATAGCGATGCGGAGACAGGTACTTCACAGGAAAGCCAAGAAACCACAAAGACAGCTATCAGGGGTGCATGGCAGGGACGTAAACAGAACAAGGCGGCCACGAATAGATCACAGGAGAGTGAGGATGCTAATACGACCACTACCACCAGTGAATCAGGATCACAAGGGAGTGAAGCGACTGATACAACTACAACGACCGAAAGTGATGACAGTGGACAAAATAAAACAACGAATACTGATAATAGCACAAATTCTTCACGGACTACTAGTAACGACTCCAGTTCACATCCCAATGGAAGTGATAGCAGCTCACATAATAGTTCGAACAAGTCGACCGATAGTTCCCAGAAAACAAAAGATTCACCGGGCACTTACTCGGCTTCATCTTACAGAGATAGTTCCGATAACGAAAGTCCATCAATGAACAATTCATTGCACGATCGAAGTAGTAATTTCGGCGAAGAGCAAACTTCTCCCGTTAGTTTGAAGAACACGCTCAATCCCAGAGAGTCTTATTACGGTTTATTACAAAACCAAAAGTTTAATTTTGAAGATGAAAGGTGCGCATCGCCAAGTGTTCCACCCAAGGATTATTTCGACGAGTCCTACAGAATTAGTGCGTCCGAACATAATGCTTCAACTGACAGTATTCGATACACACGTTCTGAAAATGGTCACTATCAGGAAGTTACCCAATCTGAAATTTGTTTGACGTCTGTTCCAACAGATCGTTACGATGATTCCTCTTCCCAGGACACACGTGACAGTCAAGATCAGACATCTGATGGGGAAGATATTGGTTCTAGGAAGAGAATTTTGTTCTTGAAGACTGGGAAAAAGAGGAAGAGTAAATGTTTGGTGACAAATACTGATGACAGTGTCTTAGAAGTGAGTAGCTCCAGTGATGGGTTACAACCGGATAGGAAAAGATCAAAAAACGACGACCCCAAAATTCCTAACTGGCGCAACATATTGAAAAATATTCCCCTTATAACTGACATTCAGAATTTCGATGACAATTATCGAAGTTTTTGTGGCGAAGACAGCAATGAACAAGGTGTCTCCGAAACCAATGTCAATAGATCTGAATTTAAAATGGCGAGCAATAGAAGAAAGAAAATTTCTAAAACTAAAGATTCCCCTCAAACTTTAGCGCATAAATCTGCGAAACAGGAAAGAACCAAGGCCGAGCACGATTGGATAAAAAAGTACAAACTGAAAGAAGTTCGGGTAATGCTGCAGCCACTAACCTACTCTGATTATAAGCAAGAAGAATACAATGGGCAGCGCACGAGTAAGCCAAAAACGCGATCTGGACTGAAAAAGACTATTAAAAAATCCGAGAATATGACGACGGAAAAATTTCGCGCGAAAAATGTGATCTGTGTAAATAGTGATACAAAACCGTGGCCGTTACAGGACATAAGTCCAAAAGTAAACTGTTGTACCGAACTAAAATCCAATGTAGAAACTGTGGAAAAATCGGACATAACCGCCATGAATCCGTGTGTTGTGTTAAAGAGGTTAGAATTCGATAAGAAACGAAGCGCGAGCTCCGTATTGGCGCACGTCCCTGGACTAAATGACTTGCAGTTGATTAGGCCGAGTTCTGTTGATCGTATTGTTCAAGTGGTCCAGGTGCCCGGTGCAAGGTCGATCGGCAACGTTCCCGTTCCGAACGCGCAAACTAGCACACAAGTCACGCCCCATATTCAAAGGATCGGGCAGCCGCGCACCGAGAAGCCTTTAGCGTCCGATTCCGATTCGACCACCGCTACGACGTCGGCGACCACAACGAATGCGGCGTCGGAATCGCCGACGTTAATTAACATTCTGTCGCAGCAGATCATTAGGCCCGCAACTCAAAACAACTGCGTCAAGCCCAGAGCGTCGCCGCTAATTAACATTTTGTCGCAACAAATCATTAAACCGGCAGCTGCTGTGTCCAATTCGAAAGTGACGTCGTCGTCAAGCACTACTGATACTCAGGTAATTATTTTTTTTTTGTTCTGCAACACTTATGGCTGTTGAATAAAACAATCTGAAATATAAATAACCACAAAAAAAGAACGCTGCCATCGTCGACGAATAATAAAATAGAAATCACAAATCTTAGTTTATATATACTAATTACAAGTGAAACCTCTGCAAACCGTTTTTTACGAGCACATGTCTTATCTTAAATATATGGAGTAATAGCCACCTTTTGTACAAATTTAACATTAGTTTATTTATTTATTTATTATCCCTCTCTTGTTCTGGGCCCTCAACAGAGTGACCCGCATAATGTTTTTAATAGTTCAACCAAAGATTTACTTTACTGCTTGCCATAAATGCGGCAAGTAATCAGGGGCGGCCTGGCACGGGGGGGGGGCGGGTGGCGATTGCCACCTAGCCTGTAGATCATAATGGCCCGTTGGAAATTTATAAGTATGTGCTGTATTTAGTTTCTTGCACCCTTAATAAATTATTAACACGTTTCTCTAATTGGGGTTGATGTTAGGTTGTTAAAAAATTCTGTTTTGATTGAAGTGTTTTACAATGAATTTATCATTTTTTGTCGTACGCACCTCGTGTGGATTGTATATTTTGTTACTTTTAATTATCAGCTGCAATTTAAAAAAAACTGTATGGTACTTGATTTTCGAGAAAGAAGTACTTTAAAATGTTTTTGTGGTGCACTTCAGAGCTTATCCCCCCCCGGGCACCTTCATCACTACACTAATACTTTAATGGCCCGTAAGTACCTAGAAACTAGACTAGACACCAATGGACTAGAAACCAATTTCGAAAAAAATTCAAAGGGCTGTAACTTTTGAACTAGTAGCCCAATCTTGGAACTGTTTGAAATTATGGATTCTACAGGCCACATTCTATAAGAAAATTTTTTTTCCGGGTCGATCTGAGACAATTTTTTTTTCGGGGCTCAAAAAAGGCAGTGTATAACCTTCCTTTTTTACCAAAAATCGACTGCACCAAAATTTCTTGGGAAAACACTTTTTCTTATTAATTTTGGTGCGTAGAATCCAAAACAATTCGTACTTTTTCGATCAGACTTCTCAATCAAAAGTTATAGACTGAAAACCAATTTCCAAAGAAAATTCAAAGGGCCGTAACTTTTGAATTAGTAGCCCAATCTTGGAACTGTTTGAAATTATGGATTCTACAGGCCACATTCTATCAGAAAATTTTTTTGTCGTAGCATGAAAGTGCATACAATGATAGCCGACGCACCTCGTGTGGATTGTATATTTTGTTACTTCTAATGATCAGGTGCAATTTAAAAAAAAACTGTATGGTAATTTATTTTCGAGAAAGGAGTACTTTAAAATGTTTGTGTGGTGCACCTCGGAGCTCCCCCCCCCCCCCCCCCACCATCATTACTACACTAATACTGTAATGACCCGTAACCTAGGCAATTCCACCTGGCCCGCAGTTACCCAGTCCGCCCCTGCAAGTAATAGAAATGAACACGTTTACATTTGATGCGGGCGCGCCCCTAACTATAGCATAGGCGATCGCTTGACGTTAATTTACCGCCACTACGATTTTGTCATATTTTTACTATATTGTGACCTATAATGGCTACAATTAGGGACTTTTTGATTAAAAAAACATTTCGCGTAAAAAAAGATTGTTGCGTAATATATTTTCAAAGTACAGTGCCAAGTTGCCAACAACAACATACACTTGTATATACTACATACATAGGATAAGTCACTACTAATTCGCATTTATTGATTGCCAGACGCACAACCAATGAAAGACAAAAGTAATATAAATAATAGCTGAACAATTAACAAAAATGTATCAGTAGAAGTGAATACACACTTATGTCGCCTCCCCCCCCCCCTCCCCCCCTGGAAGAAGTTTTGCGGGCTTTTATGTATATGATGGTACTCTACCGTAAAAGAAAAGTACTCTTTAACCTCAAGTTAACGTTATACACATCTGTGATATATTCTTCTTATTTATTATTATTTACAAATATCCATGCCCGAACCCGGCTTCGAACTCGAGACCCTTAGTCCAGCTTCAACTGAACTGCACTGCTCATATTTAAGTAGTTTACATTAGCATTAGCAATAAATTCTGATGATAAATTAATTTTAAATTTGACCAAATCTGTCACAATTATTTTTTTTTTGTTAGATTATATTAATTGTAAGTATTAGTAAGTAATAATAGGAAGAAGTATTATTCTGTAGTAAAAATCATATACAGATACTTCAGTTTGCCGCATTTGATGAAAAGAGTAATGGAATTATTTTTTATTTTTATTATTAAATAATTAACGTATTAATGCATACAAACAGATATTTATCACTCCTTGTATGTGACAATCGACTTTTGATTAAACGATTAGGTGATTAATCGATTATTTGATTAATCGATTATTTGATTAATCGATTATTTGATTAATCGATTAATCAGTGTAATCGATTATTTTTCATAATCGATTATCGATTATTCAAACCCGTAATCGCCCAGCCCTACTCGTGAGTCATTAGATCTGTCTGCATCAATAACAGCTTAGAGAAGGAAATTATTGAAAGAAACAACTCGAAAAGCAAGAAATACGAACTTTTGTAAACAAATGAACGGTATGCAACCAACATTACAGCAGTACGTCAAATCCCATAAGCGTTATATTTCTCCCTATAATTACCGATTCAATGCTATTAGTGATAAAAATGTTGTCGAAAAATCCCATCTTTACGGAAGCGATAAGCTTAAAAGTAACTTTGAGCATGAATGGGTTCGCACATGCGCAGACAAACTAAACAAAAAGTTATGAAAACGTTTTTAGTAATTTATATGACCCAAAAAAAAACACGAGCTAAAAAATTATAATTGGATCAATATTTATGAGCTTTCTTTGAGCTTTTCAGGCATCATTCTTACTTTTTAGGGGAATTTTTCGAAAAGGGTCCTTACCCCATTCTCTTTCAAATGAACCGCATATCGTCAATGTGTGTTAAGTTTTATTTTAAGTACTTATAAGAGTGATTCTAGACACATCTACTCGATACATACATGCGCAATCGACTATGGTTGCTGAACAAATGCTTTCGCTTGTAATTGGCATAACTAGGCTAATATTTGTACTTTCTTATTTCAAAACATGTTCGCCATAATAAATTTTGTGTGTGTTTGTTTCAGATTATTTTGTTCAGATTATATAACAATTTTGTTTTGATTTTGACTTCTGTATATTTCCTTTCCGCTGAGCTACTTATTGTTTTGTGAACTTAATTTTAAAAAGTATTTCACGCGCTATTGAATATTACAGGTTAAAAATGTGTGAGCGGAATCCTGTAATTAACGAAGCCACTGGGATTTAAATTTTATTGGCGCGTTTTCACTATGTAATCAGGGATCATAGTTGCAAACATTAGCAACTTTTTCAGTTATGGTTTACTGTTATTAGTATTATAGTTATTAGTATTTGTATAGTAAAGTAGGTGTCACCGTCACTTGTGGCAGTACTGCTTGGTGAAAAGTTACAGTTGCTTCATTGCTGCGTGTTTTATACTTACTCTATGTTTATGTTATCCGTTCCTAATTCATAATTTTCAATCGCATATCAGAGAGATCGAAGTTGTGTAGATATGTGGCAGGGACGCTTGTTGTCAACATGTTTAACCTTCCTAGTACGGGTACTCTTTCCAACACGTAATAGTGGGTGTGTACTAATTACTTATTGGATGCTTATATTTAAAGAGAGTAAAGAAAATTGCATCGTTAAAAAATTATAAGGAATGTTAAGTCTGTTTTTAAAATTCAACTTTGAAGACGGCTTTGCCAAATTGAGATTGTGAACCGTACGACGCAGCAATTGTCAAAAACCATACTACTAAAATTGTAATTGGAAGGTGATGTTCACAACGAGTTTGTCGTGTCCAACTTTGACGTCGAATTTTAAAAAAGACCAGTTAGTAAAAAGCACAGGTAAGTACTAATTTTATAGAAAGAGCTGATCAAATTAGAGCGCATTATGAACGTAGCGACGTTTTTGGTAAGTGTAGCATCATGTATATTTTTTATGGGCAAGGTACGGAATTAATTAGGAATGAGTTAAGGAACCATGTTCTATACCACCTACAAACTACAGCTTTCATCTGGTACTAGGAAGGTTAATACTTAATTTTTGTATTATCATGTTTAATGGCCAGTAGAGGTTGTTTGAGAGCTTTTTTCTGACTTGTGCTCTTGATTCTTTAATGATTGGCATCGTGTGATATCTTGCAATTTAACTGGCGGTTCCCCATGCTATATTAGCAATGTTAAATTGCTTTTTTCGTTCAGCGCGGGTTCTAGTCAGCTTTTTCGTAGTGTACTATTTCGGGCATGACAAATAAAAAAAGTTACGATTTTTTTAGCACCTAGGGAGGTTGGCATGATACACGAAATCGAAATTGGTTTTGTTTATTCGAATTTTAAAAAACCATAGAAAAGATGAAGAGAATATTGTCCCAAATGTATACTTTGTTTTTCTGCTAATTCCATTTTAAATAAAACTCAGTTTTTCTATATTTTCGGCATCTACATTTGTGCACCTGAAACTTTGGTCTCGAATGACCACATAGATTCTGACCCTGGAATGTGCACCACACCATTTGTTGTGATTACAGGCCTCTGTCTAAATGTCCGGTTTTCTCTCCCATACTACGCCATCAAATGAGCATTTGCGTTTTTTATGTAGAGGAAATCTGAAGTTACACCACCACGGCTTCTCAATTTGATGTGCTGTCTGTTATTGCACTCGGAGAACGGACAAGTTTTTTATTACAATCGAGCATTGGTCATAAAAAATATGTAACACTGTCAGATGACAGTCCATGAACTTCTATCATTCGACGCTGCTGTCGCACTTTTCCGCTCAACATCTACATTAGCTTGCTAGTTTGTAAACAGTAACACGTTGGTCGATTAGGTGGGTTTGGGTACTCGGTAAAGACTTCAGTAGAGCAAGGTTACAATCGATTCCTTTTTAATTTTTACTAGCGCAAACATAATTTAGGCTCGGTTGAAATCTTAGTGCTTTTGGATTTTAGCTTTGTTTTGTGACTGAGCAAAATTCACATTGCGTGATCATATAATTATCGTCAAGTTAGTTGATCAGAATACCTTAAATTATTGTTGTCGAGCTACTCACGCGACGTTATTTAGTTACAAGAAACACATCTAATTCACAGTGAACCATAATCTAAGGTTGCTTCATGTTTTTATCCCTATTATTTACAATTATTTTGTTGTACTTTGTGGCTGAGGTGATGAGTTACTAATGGGCTTAATTAGACCCTATATCGTTGTCAATTTTTGGTGAAGGGCAATGTATTATTTTGTGTTACTTTTGCCTCTTTTTACGCTTCAGTAGTTACGTGGGTACCTATCTGGTTATATTCTTTCCTTGTCAATTTCCTTCCTAAAATAGTATCTTTGAAGTTGTATCTTACAGACAAGTTAAAATTTTTGACCGTGTTAGTGCAATATACAGTATTTCAAGCATAACAAGCTACTACCAAGATCGAGTGATGTTTACCACTTTGACATTCCTTGAATTATAAAAAAATGTTACTTCAAGGTGTTGGAAAGAAAGTCTTTTGAGTGTTGGCTGATATTATTAACTATAAATGTGCTTTCCTATGGTTCTGTAACTGCAATCTGTAATAATGTTATTAATTTCATTTTGTTTGCTTTACTACCGCACATTACTATTCCCTCGCTTTTATTATTGTACATTACACTTTATTTCGATTTGATGAAACCACAGAATTTGTTTGATATAAAACAAATATTGCTCTAATTGGAAGTGCTGTTTGATACACATCATTGATTCAGTTACTTATTTGCTTATGTTTATTTTTCTTGTAGACACTTTGCTTTTACATTACGGCTTAAAATTGTATATACCATGGTAATAGACAAAAAAACCAAGGCTCATTGTATACTGGGTGTTTTATTCTATCAAGTCACTTTTCACACACAATGTTTGCAATAGACTCTATTAGTGTGACGTCAAATTTGAGCGGGAAATTCGAATTGCAGGACTTGGCGGTTTTACTGTCTAAGATATTGACCCCTATCGTCCCATACATTAAGCATCACTTTTAAATAGGTGCTCTTTACGGGCTTATACTGACCTTATGCGCATTAAATAAGCATATCGACCCTCTTATATCGAAACACTGATTACTTAACTTTAAAACAGAGCAATAATCTTTAATTAAAATCCATCAATTGCGTTATAATTAAAAATTAAAAATATGTCTACCATATTTATTTACACTTTACGATTGGCAGGAAGGAATGATCATAACCTATCTTATTCCGTATTCACTAATGTAAACATATAATAAAAAAACACCGAGGACTATTGAAAACTATTTAAAACAAATTCAAAAAACACACTTTAAAGGCAAGTAAACGTCTAAACGACCAAGTCTAGCAAGTGGGAAAATGTAAACACAAAAACAAGGTCATGATCATACCATATTGCCAACCGTAAAGTGTAAATATGGTAGACTTATCTTTAATTATTAATTATAACACAATTAATCGATTTCATTTAACGTTTATTGCTCTCTTTTAAACTTAAGTAGTCAGTGTTTCGATATATGGTGGCCGATGTGCTTATTTAATTCGCATAAGGTCAGTATAAGCCCATAAAGAATACCTATTTAAAAGTGATCCTTAATTGAGTAGGGCGATAGGGGTCAATATTTCCGACAGTAAAACAGCCAAGTCCTGCAATTCGAATTTCGCGGACTATTATGACGCGTCCGCTAATAGACTCTATTGACTTGGTTGTTCTCATAATGTGAAGAATTTGTCAATATAAGGCACTTAGCTAACTTAATGGAGCCCAGATATTTGCATCATAAGATCCTGTTCATAATAAGCACTTATTACTCATCCTTTTTACATACGATTGTGATAGAGTGTTTTGGAATATCTTAACCTTTTTCTCCATTTGTATAAAACTTTTTAGGACACACTGTATATGGCAGCTTATATGCTCTACATGCGCATCAAAAACTGATTTTGGCATTATCCAATAGAAGTAAAAAATCATAATTTCTGTTTCAAATCCATACCTAAAATATTGATTGTACAGGATGAGGCAGAGAGGACGGATATAACGCTTGAAAACACACGATCACATTCCACGGCTCCATGACATTGACTACACAAAATGGCAGGAGCTACCAAAGACATGACCACATCAGTCGCCCCCACTCCTACTACCCGATTCAGAATACTATGTTTTAAAATCATCCATCCTTTTGCCTCACCCTGTACTTGAAATATTCAACAGAGTAGTAATTTTTCGTTTATTAAACACATGTAAAGTTTTATAAAGTCAATAGCGTTTTTGACCAATGCGTATAAATTTTATTTTTTTATACCTTCTTTATCCAACTGGAGTGGGTTTAACCACGCTGGCATGGAAACTAGAAGGTTGGATTGTACTAACGTACACTAGTTGCACATACTCATTTTACACTGTCACCATGGTATGTACAATGTATATAATACGTAATGAGTATCAGTATATATTTGTTGGAAGGTTGCATGGGTATTTAAGTAATTGGTATTTATAGACTAACTACCTTATCCCCTCTCTTTATTTTTTTTGTTAATTTGTATACCAATTTTTGCCATGCACATAAACTAAAAATTTTTAATTGTGCCATAAACTGAATCAGGTTGTATATTATCAGGTTAACAGCATTCCTAGGGTTATATCTGGAGGGGATCAAATCATTAATCAATTAATAAATCAGGTGAGGACACCTGCACCGACATTGAAGACGCTAGTGAGTTCTCCGGGAACGGAACAAAATCGTATCTTACAGTTTATTTGTAAATCTTCGGATGGGAAACTTATTCCGGTTACGTCGTTCACGTCAAACAAAGTGGTGAAAGTGTCGATGACGCAAACGGGGAATGCTTCAGTGAGTGGAACTGTCGGGACTGAAGACAATAGTGGGAAAGTGGCGCAAAACACCTTTAAAGCGAAATCTGATGTACCTGAGGGGTTGGATATGTTACCCAAATTCCAACAAGCTTTTGGCAAACCAACATACCAAAACAATGTAGATTCAGCCGAGTCTACCGGAAGTAATAACGAAACTATTAATTCCGATACCGAAAAACCTACCACTGTAAAGAATCAGCCAAAAAACTCGCCTGCTTCCCTGAACGTGCAACCCGTTCAGGGAGGAGTTATATATACCCGTCAAGTGCCTGTTGGTCAGACTATCAATTTAATACCACCTGGTCGTGGACAAGTATTTCGTATTGCTACATCTAATCCAGAGCAGCTGTCGTTAGTGAAGGACAGTGTTATTCAAGGAAAAATGAGTGCACTGCTAGCTGCGGCTCTGCAAGGAAAGCAGCGACCCGCTGAAAATAGTGAGACTGACGCTAATTCCGAAGATGATTCGCAATCGAGTACGAGAGTGACTCTAACCACGCGAAATCCTTTAGTACAAAATGCACGCATCATTAAACCGGTCTTGCAGATACCTTCGAACGTAATACGCAGCGCCCCACAATCGAACCTTAGTTCTACTACTTTGGAACAGTTGCGTGAATTTGATATGGTGTACAAACAGGTATGTATCATTTGCTTGCTTGGTTACCTACTTGAAAAGTGCTTTAACATGTTTGCTGCCTATTCAAGACTGACAATTGTTATTAAAGCAACAAATACACTTAAGCAAATTACATTTAATTATCACTGAGAAATTTTTCGAGGAACTGAATTGCGATATCAACTATTTTGAAATCTTGGCAAAACCGAAATTTACAAATCTGGATTCCAAAGCAACGGGTCTGTTATAAAAATGGCATAACAGTTGATTGCTTAAATTATTTAATATTTTTAAGTTCATATTTCAAAAATTTTGGTCTTATAAATCAAATTGAGGTGTATTATTTTTAAAAATTAAGTCCATGTAACGTTTTTCAGGTTTCTTTTGACTGCTGAAACAAAGAGCTTTAAATTAAATTTAAATTTTAAATTGTTGCATTTTACAACTTGTATATCCATTGCCAAATTTATGCCATATACAGGGTGTAATAGGTAAGTACGGAAAGTGAGTGTAAGAGGAGATTTTGTGTCCAAATAAACCAAGGGTCCAAAATGTAGTTCGGTCCAAATATATCATTTTGTAGCACTCTGTAGTACATGCTTTTCAAGATGCTGTTTTTTCGACTCTACGCGGGGCGGTAGCGGTAGTAGGGAGGGCAATGATATATTCGGACCAGACGCCTCATAATTCCGATTGAACTTCAGCTAAGTTCGTTTGATCGGTTAATTATATTTCGGCGTCCGGTCCGAATATATATAATTTTGTAACACTGTAGATGTTTAAAGAATAGATGTAAAACAAAGAAAATAAATTAATAATTTTAGTCAGGTTGGATCCCACCTTGTTGCGACTTCACACGCTTCTTTCACTTTTGTTTGTGTTTATTACTAATAAGTAATAATTCATTTATTTATTGTCTACAGTCAAGCAACTTGGTCCCGGTTAATACTCGTATTTACATAGATAAGCCTAGCAGGAAACAACTTTGAATTTTTGGTATACATCCCTCTGACTTAATTTGAATTAACGTGAATTAATTTGAATTATCGTGAATTAATTTAAATTTGTACACCAAAATGGTACTTGTTTCCCCCTAGAGATAACCACTCATGAACTTCGCTCGTTAATAAATAAATGTGGGTAAAAATGGCTAAAAACTCATAAGTTTATGGCACTTTTGCATTCTTTATCACGAAATCCAAATAACCCATGTTGGCGAAAAAATATTTTAGTTTTTGACAAGTTTTCTCAATTTAAGTCTTTATTGCTATTTAAAAAAAAGTACGATGCCGTTGCGGCGCATTTTTCTTCAAAAATTTGAATAAAATTCGTTATGTTGGAAAATTGCAAACGCAACGCCAAATAGGTAAATCCTGCAGCATACACAACCATTTGAATTATGGTAATCCCTCATCCAAATTTTTTCGCCTATACCGGATCACTGGAATGTTCGGATTAGTGGATTTGTGTGGGATATAAAGCATTTTTTTCTGTTCTGATGTGTTAGGCATGCTTATGCTGCATAGTTTACCTATTAGGCGATCATTACTTTTGTCAATGATGGCACATACATACAGACAGAAAAAAAATTGATTCTTTAAAAGTTGCTTGAAATTATCTAAAATTTGGTATTTGATGAAATTTTAGCAATTTTTAACGAAAAACTTTGATTGCAATAGTCACCTAACTGAAGCTCAAAATTTGATCTGCACCCCTCTCAACCTAAAAAAAATTGATCTCTTCCAAATCTGGGGATTTCCACACATCCTTTTTACTATTTACACACACATATTGTGGAGTGTAATTTCCTTGAGAAACATGCTGAGCCTCGGTTTATTAAAAATCAATAATGCTTGTTTTGGATGATGGACACTATCCAATTTTTTTTACATACCCAATACGCCCTGTATATATACTTATGCATTTTACCATAAGAATACATAACAATTACCTGGTAGGCAGTGAATGTGTGAAAAAAACTGGGAATAATTGCGAGAAAAGCTGATTTATTTAGACCTTGATAAATCGATTAACGTATTCTATAAATGTGCATGTATTTCAGGTGAAAGAGCGAAGTAGCACAAATGTTCCAACAGAATCAAGTCCACAATCAGACTCAAATGATACACCTCAGCAAATTAGTGTGACCTACTTAAATCAAGGTCAAAAAATTAATTGCGCGCCCGTTGTGGTTGTTAGTAGTTATTGTAACGTTCAACCGGCTGCATCACCTGCACTAAGTGTAACTTCTCAAGGCAGCTCTAGTCCGTGTGTTACTCCAGCTCCTACATTGACATTATCTTCTAAGGCTTCTACAAAAAGCCCAAAGGCAAAAGCGGTTAAAAGCACCACTACACACACAGCGAAGGCTTCCCCAATTCCGAAACCTCAGCAAAAACCGCAAGAAGATGAGCATACGACACAGCGAATATTTGACATACTAGCAGAATACGCGGAACAGTTACGCAATTCCCCAGATTTAAATAATAAGCCAGCGCCTCGTAGACGTTCAAATCCTCCGACAAATCCAAGTCAAAACACAAAGCGAAAAAAGAGTTCTAGTTCAAAGAAAACTGGGCAGTCTAGCAATTCTTTAGCTTCCGACGCTGACATAGATGACGGCCATACAGTTGGAAGCGAAGATAGTTCCTGCGGAGTGGTTCAGATTTCTGTACAAGATGACGAACAAGCCCTCGCACCCGTCAATACCTCAGAGAGTAGCGAAGCGTCCGCCAGCCCTAAGCAGCTAATTTTAACAGATTCTGCTCCGAATCAGTCTCACAGTTTAATCATTGCTGACTCGAACGTCGGGGAAGCACTTAAAATGTCGAACACGGCAGTTTTGGTTCCAGGGAATTATATAATGCCAGTTTCGATGGTGAAAGGAGGTCAGCAAATTGCTGTCGTGTCCGGAGGTAGTAAAATTTTAGCAACAGTACCGGCGCGTTCTGGCCCTAATATGTTGCTTTTTCAAAGTTTTTTGAATCAAACTCGCAAGCACGGATTACCGACTGTTAAGTATTCGACTATACAACCAATATCCGGCATGACTAGAAATCTTTCGGGCATTCCTGCACAAGCTACTACAACTGTTCCTGCAACTTCATCTCAAAATCTAACCACGGTTACTTTATCTCCTAGTGTGGGAATTCAAAAAGTTTCTCAAATGGAACGTGTAGATAATTTCGATACGACCGAAGTGTATCTCGCTATTTCTCAGCCGCAAGATGTGAAATTGTCTGATCATCCGCAAAGTGAGCATTGCATAACGTCAACCTCAAAGGCGAACAGTGATACCATCACCTCGGAAGGTTCATATAAGGAAGATAGGAAAGAAGTGTCCAGTTCTTCAGTTGCCACATCTGTCATTGCGCAAGCTACGATCACAAAGGAAGAAATTGTAGAAGTACAATCTACAACGCCTGGAACGATGATGGCGCTGAACTTAAACACGTCCGATAATGAGAAAGGTATTGTTGTAACTTAGTCCGGGGGCAAAAGGTAAATCTGCATGCTATTTCAAGTGTAGAAATGTTTAAAGAGTAAGATTAGAACAAAAAGCGGGAATCTAGCAGTGGTCTTATCTCCTGAATCTGTTTTGATTAATTTAGTCCGACAGTTTTAGAAACCCATTCAAACTTCAATCGTGCTTCTCTATTTTTAATTGAAAGCTTTACTGTCCGTAGGCTGAATTATATATGAAGCATAGTGCCCTGAATGGAATTTGTCATTCCTTTTATAATTTCGTTATTGAATTCCTTTGACACTATTGGTTTAAAAGGGTTGAAATGATCAAAAATAAATTAACGAAAAGTGCTGAGTCATGTCAAATTTGAGTAAAAAGGGGACCAAATTTAAACAAATTTTATTTCCTTAGGTGGGGTGGCCAATCCCTTTTGGGCACAGCAAGTTGTGTGATACTTCCAAAGCTTTTTCAATTTTCCAACCAGAAACTTCAGTTTTGATTCAACAATAAATCATCAATTCTAATTTTTTAATGTGATGACAACCCTGCCTTAGGGTATGAGATAAATTTTGGACCTTCTCATTTCCCTGTCATTCAGATGGCACCTTTGCCGTAGAACAGTCTGTTTTTTGGTGCTGGAGATAGTGTCAACATTATGTGAAATACTCTCACTAATCCTTATCCTCGGCTGCAATCCTAAAAATTCTTAATTACATGCCGATCTTTATTGCAGGCGATTTTAGATTGAATCTGAGAACCACTGTAAATTTTGAATAATTAAATAGTTTGGGAAGGGTTTCCAAAAAATGTTTTAAACATTTTCAAATTGTCCTGCACTTTTGCATCATTTCTGAAATATTTCCAAAATTCGCTACATTTTTTCAAGAGAGACACATTTTTGAACCGTTTACCTCATATTTCCATTACTTTTGAAATATTTCTTGTTTTCCAAAATATCATTTTTACACCTTTTTAAAGTTTCCTTCACATTTCTGAAACATTTCCAAAATTCTTCTATTTTCCGAACTTTTCCAAACTTTCTGTAATTTTAATTTTAAACATTCTTTTAAACATTCTAGAAACGCTTTTAAATTTTTCTATATATATTCTATATAAACCCGTAACTACAGACGTGCCATTAAGGTGACGCCAAACCCCTATTTTAAACAATGCAAAATAACATAAAAACCAAAATTTTTGCAGCTAGGACACTATCAAAATATTAATTCAACAACTTTTGCTTAGTACACATTTATCAGATTTATACTCGAACAATGTGTAGGTAGGTACTCACAAGGACATTCATTTTATTATATAATTTTTGACATAGCCTCACATTAAAACGCAACTAAAAAACTAGAAGTTGGTACTATTCTAATTTTGAAACATATTAACTAAGTATAAACCTATCTGAACATAAATAATAGGTAATAAGTCAAAAACAAACGAAAATACTTAACCTGCAACCGTCTTTTTGACTCCTACAAAACTAAAAACTCAAATAACTGAAAAAGTACTGAAAAGCACAGCCACACATTTAACAGAAATAGGGAAAAACCAGAAATGTTCAACCTGGACACGCGTCAGTTTGACTCCTTGTCTATGGTTACGGGTTAATTTCCCTGTTACTCTTTTTAAATTTTAGGGGTGTCACTAAACAACGAAGAACATTGTTGCTGAATTCTACTATAAAAATGTTTCCCTCAAACGTAAAAGTGGCGTTTTTTAGCGCTTTTCAAAAATTTAAATTTTTGTGTGCCACTCTGTATATAAGCATGTATAAACCGATGTATTTACTATATTTTAATTCAAAAAGTTGTCAAAACTATGTTCTATGGGCAGTTCTGCGCCTATGAACGACCCCTGGAAATTGCCCCCCATCACCACCACCAATTAAAAGCACTTTATACCACTACCACACACCCACCACAACATTTTAATGGAAATATGCTTCATTTTTATTAATATTTTTGCATGACTAGGTGAGGGGCTATATCTAATTTTCCTTTTTAGAATATATTTTCCGTAATTTTTACAATGTGAAATTCAGATGTGGTTTTGCAAAATAATAAAAGACATCAATTTCAAATAACGTATTTCAAGCTGATTTTACAGTTTAAACAATTAAATCCAATATAGAAACATGTAAAATGTAATCACTGTATCACTGTCAATGGTTATGAAAAATACTTAGTGACAAAACCACACTGGTCACATTTTAAATCCTTGGCAGGTCCTAGTCTTAACAAATATTAGACTGGATTTAAGTTTGGTGACGAAAGCGCACTGGGCACACTTTAAATCCTTGGTGATCTTGCTTGTTAATAAATGTATTTTTTTCAATTAAAAATCACATTGCTTGCATAGTCCCACTGGACACATCTTAAATTGTTGGTAGTCTTGTGCTATTGCGCTTGTGCTGTGTTCTACTGACAGTGTCTGTGTTAACTATGTTGGCACAGATGTTCCTTATTGAAAGTAAATGTATTTATGTATCATATATGATCTAAGGAAAATTATCTGTTGCTATTAAGTTGATTTTTTGCAAGTTTCCGCACATGTCATCTTTAATTTTCTAACACTGCTATGTTTACATTAATGAGTCATGCGCAGGTATGCAACTAAGCGTATACATGTTATTGTATAAGGGTGTTCATCTATTCTGATTGCGATTTTTAAAAAATAAGTTCTCCACATCGCAATTGATACTTGACCCCTGTCAACCTTGTGAACTTGTTACTTTTCTTCGGCTAGCATTTTTGATGTTTAAACATTTCCCTGGTAAAACTTAATGGATGCGAAACAAACACTTTTGACACCAGTTTGATTAGAATTAGACTCAGCATTCAGGAGATAAGAACCTTATCTGCTATTTTCCATGATGGCGGTCGACAACTGGAAACCTAATATTTTTCTTTCTATGTCACGCCACTTTTATCACATTTTCACTTTTTTATGACCATTTGCCCCTGGACTAATTCTGAAATCAATTATGACGGGAAAAAAATGTTTTAGATACGACGCTGAAGGTTGAGGGACGGGTGCAATCTGTTCTAGTAACGACAGGTACATCGAACGGTCCCATGTTATCGCATAATCCGCCTACGTACAAGCAGGTCCATTCGATAAATTCCATATCGGAATCAAATAAAGATGAGTACCTGCGCACCGAAGGCAAGGTACTTAGAGTGTTATCCCACATTGATGGTCAGTCACTATTGTTTAATCAGCACAAATTTTCTACCGTAGTTGCCGAAGACTGTATTTAATATTATTTTTATATATAAGAGTGACGATGCTTGTTTATTATTTATTTTTGCAGATTCTATCGTTAGATACATACTTAGAGCTAGATATTATTAATTTTTGCATGACAATATGGGTTTGTTGTTGTTCACAGTATTAGTTTATATTTATTTCTGTAATATCGAACTTATTATTACAGTATATATTATCGTTAGAAAATTGTTTTTATATTTGCTTTTAAGCCTGCTAAACCATTTTGGACGGTGCCACAATTCTTATTTCCCGTTTGTGCATGCTGACAAAATGGTATGTGTGACTGATGTACCGGTCCCATAGATGTCTACAGTGTCGATAAATAAAGCCTTCGATCGCACGCATGCTGTACACATTTATTTCACGTACACCTTCACTCATAAACTTTTGTTTCTGGTATGCCTGGACTAATTGAATTTTTCTGTTTTAGCACAATAGTGTAGAGGCTAAGAGTTTACCCGGTAATGTAGGATATCATTACCAAACTAAAATCAGGAAGACCCACATCGGTTCTCAAACGCGTGATCGTGACCTAAACCAACAACTAACCTTGCAACGTAAAGCGGCTATGGAAAGAGAGTTGAGGTTGCAGACGACGTTGTCGGAGGAATGTGAAGATCTCGGCGTAGACGAACCTAGTGCTAGTGATTTATTTCCCGAGGCAGATCTGCCTTTTGATAGTAATCATTCGCCCTCGTTTGATCAAACCTCTCAGGATCTAGTGAAACGTGTTCCGGTCGTACAGGAGGTGAAGGAGGAGACTAGAACAATAGGACTTTTTTGTGATGACGAACCTATGAGAACTGATTTTTTATTCGAGCCAATCGAATACCAGCCCCCCACAACGGAATTGTCTTACGACAACTCTAAGGAATTACGAAACGGACAGAGTACCATTCAGTCCGGTATAGCGTGCGAGGACAATACGTTGTTGCAAACCTGCACGACGATGTCGGATGTCACTATTCCATCGCCCATCTCCCCCGAACCATATGCTGACCTCTCTCCTTTAACATTTAATAAGCGTAAATATAGTTACTCCAATCGAAAAAAAATTGAACGTGCGAAACAGCCTGAGAATTGGTCTACAGAACTTTCCAGTTCGGAGGATACCACAGGCAGTACTGAATTGTTAAGCACAATGACGCGTAGTCCCGAATCGTTTTCTACGAAGCGCGATCAAAACTTGAATTGCGAGGAAGAACTTTACGAGTTCGCCATCGTAGAACGAGTTCCTTTGAAGGACGAGCAAGGATGTGAGAACATTGACTGTGAATCAGTTGCAGAGTGTCCTAGTGGTAGGGGTTGTCGTCGTAGTGTGAAGAAAACATGCTCGTGTTGTAATCTAACTGTCAAAGTTGCACGTAAAAGGCCTGCCTCCAGACCGACTACCCCAATTAAAAAGACTGTGCCCGCCAAAAAAAGATAGTGGCTATGTTCATATTCTGAACTGCTTTAGGTAATCTAGTTATTCCTATTGACTCTAGTCAAGACATGAAGTGTACTCCACTTTAGTACAAAATACCCCTACTAAATTTGTATAGTATGTACTATATTTGAAAGCGTATAGACATCCTAATACAGGTATATTAAATTATGTATGTGCAGTTGTGTTTGTATGTACATAACTTGGTTAAATCTGTTTAAAAATGGCAGATAATTCAACATAGAATTTGTTAAAAGAGAAATAAGATTCAATCTGACTTAATAGGGTGATGCCAGATATGCAGATTCTCCGGCACGAGATAATGCAATAACTTATCATTATATGTTATTTGTTCAAAATTTCTTATTTACTCTTTAATTGTAAGTAAATCAGTATTGTTATTTTTTTTATTCGATTCATGTAGTATAAGTGAATAAAAGATGGCAAATAGCGGAATCTCGTTCATTATTTGTAAAAAAAGTTTGGAATGAGACCAATTTAATACGTTGAGACTACTTTGTAAGCACCAATTAATTAGATTTGTAGCTATTTTAGCACAATTTCTTTTCCAGTTGTTTGTACGTTTGTTTTGTCTAGGATACTCTTGTTGTAAAAATAAAAATTGTGCTTGACTCACAAATGTATTATTTAAGTGCTAATTTGTGTTGCTTACAAAATAGTGCGTGTATTGTAATAATGACTGCCATCAAATAAGTGATACAAAACAAATTCTATTTTGTTGAAGTTTTGTGATTTTTGTTTTTTCGAATGATAACTATTATCATTCTAGTTTCTGTGACTGTTCAAATTTCATTTCGTAAAACCAATCTTGCTCTCTATAGAGCATGTAGATCTTCAACCGAAGTTTGATGGCATTTTTAATTTATTTTATTCGTAATTGTTCGCCCACAATTTTTATACAAGTAAGTCTTCCAATAATCAAAATGATACATTTCACTTTAAAATTTTGCGTGCTCTCTCGAATATCTAATAACGATTTGATCTGTAACAATACCGATTGTGGGCTTTGCCAAAATTTCAAAGAACAATGCCACAAACTTGAGCACAAGTTTTCAAAGTATTAAATTAAGTTTTTGTTTTCATATCATTTAGTGCAATGTATTATAAAATCATTCCATATAATTATAAAAAATGCTTTTGTGTTTTTTTGTTTTTTTTAATTACGTAGTTATATGGCAAACTCGACATCATTTTTCAAAATAAATGTGATGGTAATTTGCCTAAATTTTCTTTGGAGAATTCATTCTATTTACAACGGTGATGTGTAAATGGATTTACACCATCTATTGTATTTACATTTAGCTTTAAGACTGAGATAGCTTTGCAAATATTCTGATATGCTGTAAAAGAAATTCTTGGGAAATATTTGCGCATTAAACTTAACCTTGTTTTACGATCTGTGGTGGATGGTTGTATAAATTTTACGAGCGTTTCGAATGGTCTTTTGTGGGAAATGCTACATGTAAGTACTTAATCGAATAGATGGAAAATGTCCACATTATGTGGAAGGGCAAACAAAAGTATTGTTCGAGTCCTTCTGTCCTCTTAACTCGCAGCCTGTACTATATCACAATTTCTCACTTCCCACTGTTTGAAGAATTTAAAAGAAAGACATGTTGTATGGGTGGATCCATATCTCTCTTTTGAGTAGTCTTCTAGAATGCCTCACGCAGAACGATTGCAAGGGAGCTACTCCTATGTTTTTGTCATTTTTCTTTAGGATTTTTAGGGCATTTTTGAAAAAAAATACGCTATTATATTCGTTATGGCTGGCAGGCCGGCTGTCCGCGTGAGATCTCCACAACTACAATAGCTAGAGAATTCAAATTTTCACTAAAAGCTTTCTGTTATAGTGTAGATATGCAGGCACTAGTCTATTTTGAGTTAGATTACTTGTGATTTCGATATGGGTTTCGGAGGTGCTATAATTTTACCGTTAGATAGCGCTACCAGTATAAAAGCTTATTATTTACTTTGTGACTTGTTTTACAAAATGAAGACGTACCCTCAATTGAAATTAAATAAAATTAATTATTTAACGTAGCCAACATTACTCGTGAGATCGATAATTTTAAACTTCGCTAATAAAATACTGACCTGCATTACCCAAAATGCGCTTTAATCATGCATCTGCTGATTTACAACTTGTTTGTTTGTATTGCATCTTTTGCATGCGGATTACAGTGTATTCTAGACCAAGCTTGGATTCTTTCCTCATCCAAACAGCATAATATGTAATGCATTCTTTGCTTCAGCTAAGCTTAGAGCAAAATGCAGAGACTGGGATGGTGTTCTCCCTTGCTGGATGATTGTACTAAGAATTAGATTACTTGCAAATGTGAGAGCTCCGCAGGGAAAATTGGTTGGTTTTGAACTATTTACCCTCTTGCACCATACACTATAAAGAGAACTGTGGCTCTAATCTTTGAATATAAAATTTATTCAAAGCTCTAATGTAGTAGTCACATTCAGTTCATCCTATAAGTGACTTAGTGAAGTATGTCATGCCAAATATTCCCTTACTTTTGAATCGATACGATTTACGAGTTATTAATATGTGTGTTTCATAGTTTGCAATATGAATGATGTTCAAGTTTGCCACTTTCTTTGTTAAGGGGGGTTTGTCGACCCCGCTTATCTTTGGTTTGCACTATGGTGCATATGGAAGTAAAATCATCTCATTGGTCACGGTTTGAGTGAAATTGACTAATATACACATTTACAGCGTATTTATAATACTTTTGGTGTAAATAAATAGTTATTGTTAATTATACGTATCAGTTTCTCACATTTATACCAGTATAAGCGAATATTACTAATGCCCAGCTTCCGAGTGCGCTACCTTTCAATCGCGTTTTCGTATAATGCATGGCGGCAAAATGAAGGGAGTGTGGGTGAGAAAGAAGTAGTCACTTCTATTGGTACATTCACCAGTGCCACTTTCGAATTTTGTCTTTTTATTTTTGAAATTTCGTTTTTGATTTTTTTCAAGAACAGGAGTCGACCGCATCTTGAGCTTTAAGCAGGACGCAGACTATCGCGGAATGGATTGGAACGGAATGGAAAGGCTTGGATCACTGAACGAATTTTTCCGCGGTTCCACAGCCCCCTTCGTTTAGTTTAGACGAAGACGAGTACAAAGCGTGTTTATTCCTACAGGAAATAGGATAAAACAACTCTGACATTTGACAATATACCATAGCCATGGTGTGTTTGTTTAATTATTGAAATGAATGAAGAATTTTTAATGAATATATTATGTGGTTATCCACATCTATATTTGTCATGCGATACAAATTTGCGTTTTTTTTGTTTTCTCTCTCATTTCTTGCTTCAAATTCAAACTACACACAGCCTATTTAATTTATTAATATATATAATAATAGCTTGGTTGCCTTCATCCAATCATCTACTGCATGTATAATAAGGTAACATATTTAGATTTACTATCTCCTTGAGTTTTCTAACACTTAGCGCGCGCCTGTATGAATCATTGTCTTTGGAACGCATATCCTCATAACATCGTCATATAATATATTCCACAGAGTCGGGCCAAGGACTGACCCCTGTGGACACCCTTACATACACCTCCCTTATTGTGTCTATTAATTTTAATAACACATTCAGCAGGTATTTATCTAGATATTATCTTTTAATTTCCGGACGCGTCTCCAAATCATTACGTGAAAAGGATTCTGGCTCCGACGATGATGTGCTCGATTGCGGTAATGTGGTCGACCTACCTGCTCGAAAGCCCTACTGCGTGGGTATACCTTTCCTAGTATGCCGAGTAGGGAGATTGGTCTAGAGAAAGCTGCGCTAGAGCCTTGAGCACTATCCGAGAAGAGATAAATGCGCACACCCAGTAGCCCTTTGACCGCATCTGGGTTTTACAACATATCCGGACCGGCATCAGTCTTGAACGAACAGGGATCCGCTCATTTTTTTGCGCGGGTGGAGATACCAGCATTCGCCTGGGCGTGTAGCGGAGTTGGTTCTAGATGATCGGGAATGCGAGCGTTTTCGATGCCACTGACGGTTGTCACCTCGATCTTGTGTATGGAAGGCGTTGATTCGGAGTGAGCGCGGATGCGAGTCTTCTGGCTGGTGGAGAGTGGCGCGAGGTCGAGCTGGCAAGGCGAAATGGTTCTGTAGGCGAAGGGCTGGTTGTTTCTTGAAGCGCAGTCGAAGCAGGATGAATCATTTTTGAACTTAGCAGAGTTCTAGAGCCCTTCTTTTAAACGTTTTCGGGCAGGGAAATGCGCTCTCATCGGTTAGCCGTTTTGACCAATGAGGGTGTAGCATGTTTTAGTTTGCTGCCGGACGTGCAAGCGGCGCATCGCCACAATATATAGGTTTTCAGGTATTTATTTAGTACTAATTTAGCAATTATAGGTATTACCCAAAGAGTACTATGGTTACTCTTTGGTATTACAAACCGAAAGTAAGATGCCGCAGGCGTTTAAAGGAAGGAACCAGGTACAATTTCCAAACTCCTGAGGTCTCTGTACAAGAAAATGTATTTTGCTCTTTATTTTTGGGAATTAAATAACAAAAAAACTAACCGGAACTAAAATAGAATGTGGACGTTTAGTTTTATTTTAAATTTGAAAACCAAGCATAAGTATTTTCTCCAAATAAACCGAGAGCTCAAAAGTTTTCGTTTAAAAACTATACTTTCAAAAATTTGCATTTCATATAAGATAGAATGTATGAATGTGATAAGAGAGCGGGAAATTAAGTTTCTTATCAATTGCATTTATGCAGACTATTACATAACGAAGTGTCACTGTGGGGTACGTGGCGATTGACGTATACATTTTCGGCATTAAATTGTTAGAAGCGAAACTTGTATAAGGTAGTGGAACGACGTCGCATTAACGCATTTCTAATAGTGACGGCGTACGAACGGTATCGCTCTCAAGTTTAACATAAGTATAAAACATTTCGGAAAGTAACTTTAATAATTTTGATCACATCAAATAAAAATAATAAATGCTTGTATAATTGCATGAAATAAAAAAAAACCTAGATATTAGAATAGTATTGACCCTACTCTGACCCTTTCATCTTTTCTAGTTAACGGCTACCTCTTCGTCGTCAATGACTGGAATGAGATCTTTCAGTAACCTAAACAATCTGAGCTATGAGGAGATGCTGTTCTATACAATCTTGTGGTGTGTCCAGAAACTTAGGTGAGTACAAGCGTTACTTAAATTGATTAATCAAAATCTGTTCTGAGTTGTAAGGGTATGATATTCCAGCTCGTTTTAAAGCCGAAATTTCATGTTTAAAGCTTGAAAAGCAATGGTTTCTAGGTCAAACTAAAGAAAGCTTGGCATATTTAGCACCAACTATCTTTTCTTACCATCCTCCTCCTCTTGGTTCCATCGTAGTTCGCCCGACGCCATTAGTTTGGAAAGTATGGTAGTTACTAAAGGGTTCAAAACCTGTTATGCCCCACCTTGTTTTACTCGGTGCCTCCATTTTGGCACTATGTAGTAAGACAAGAAAAAATGATATATATTACATACATAAACCAGGAAAAAATCGACACCGACAAAAAACCTTGTAGGTACCTATATACAACAACAAAATGCAAATTAGTATCAAGCAGGCATGGATCTGCTCAGGGGCGGACTGGCACGGGGGGGCGGGTGGCGATTGCCACCTAGCCTGTAAATCATAATGGCCCGTTGGAAATTAGAAGTGTGTGCTGTATTTAGTTTCTTGCACTATTAATAAATTATTAACAAGTTTCTCTAATTGGGGTTGATGTTAGGTTGTTAAAAAATTCTGTTTTAATTGAAGTGTTTTACAATGAATTTATCATTTTTTGTCGTAGTATTTTGAAAGTGCTGAAATACAATGATAGGCGACGCACCTCGTGTGGATTGTATATTTTGTTACTTTTAATTATCAGCTGCAATTTAAAAAAAACTGTATGGTAATTGATTTTCGAGAAAGGAGTACTTTAAAATGTTTTTGTAGTGCACTTCTACCCCCCCCCCCCGGCACCTTCATTACTACACTAATACTTTAATGGCCCGTAAGTACCCAGTCCGCCCAATCTTGGAACTGTTTGAAATTATGGATTCTACAGGCCACATTCTATAAGAAAATTTTTTTCCGGGTCGATCTA